AAGGGGGTAGAGGAAGAGCAGGGGGAGGAGGTGACTTTTGAGAAGCGGCTGGGATGGAGTTAGTGAGATGTAAAGTGAGGTGTACAGACACTCCAGGGGACCATGGAGCAGTAAGGGCACAGTCCTCAGGTGACATCCTTGGAAATGCTTCCACAGGCTCCATAATGATGGCTTTCAAATTGTCTCTGTCAGTTTACTTTCAGGGAGACTATGGTCTGTCCATTTACCTAAAACCTAGCAGGCTATTTTCTGGGAACATCTTGGCTATACCACGTTCACTTCCTGCAGGCCTAGGAAAAACATTTGAGGGGGTTTCCTGCCCATGCCTTGTGTTTTGCTGGCATAGTGTCTGCAGGTGACGGTCACCCTCCCCAGGAATGGATGTTGTCTGGAGCCTCAGTGGGCTCCAGGGTTTCCTCTGAGCTCTGGGGCTGCACTCAGAAAATGAAGAAGCCTGCCTCAAAGTACATGGACCTTGCCTTGAGAGAGCTTTGATCTGTCTGTGGCAAGCTTCACAGGCCTGCGCTGCTCTGTTTGCAGCAGAGGAATGAATGTACTCATGCCTACTTGCTCAGTAAGGATCTGTACCTTTAGAGAGACTATAAAAGGAAGTAAAATATTCTAATTTTTACATTGCTGATCTAGTGGAAGAAACAAGAAGGAATGCCTCTACAATGATAAGCGCCACTATGATACCTGATCTAAGAAAAGATAGAGAAACAAGGACTATCTTTACTTGAGGTATTAAGTTAGGAGCATGTAGAGTGTAGCAAATGTTTGGGCACTAAGTTAGCACCCGTGTGACTGCTCTTACCAGGAGCGGCTTCACACAGGAAGCAGAATTTCAGACAAAGGAGGACTGGACAGAACATTTTCTGTCCAGGAAGAACATTTTCTATGGCACTTCTGTTCTCTGATAACGGCTACCACTTAGGACCAGGCAGTGGTGGTGATCACTGCTCTGAAGGCCTTGAAATAATTCAGTCATTTATTTATTAGCATGTGTGGTAAGTTGTCTTTGGTCTCAGGACACAGGTTCACAAGGATGAAAAATGAACCTTCATAAGAGCACAGAGCCTGGAGGCTGGAGCTAGGATTGTGGGTGTCTGTAGGTGCTTGGCCCTGAAGGCAGCTGTCTTTGGATAGAAGAAAATAGTTATCATAAGCTTATTGTAGGCTTTCAAGTCATTCTGAAATTCAGATGAACTCTGAATCCTACACATAGTCAAATACCATTGGTTAAATCTTTGCTTCACAGAAGTGATAGCCAACACGCTATCCTGGAAGCCCTAACACTCCTTCAGGTATGAAGTTGCTCATCTTTGTCACCTCAAAGTGCCCCACTTCTTGAATGTGGAACCTTCCCCCCAACTGCCGACTGCACAATCAAACACAACTGTTTGCAGCAGCTTATCGGAAGCAAACAAGCTATGGAGAATTGAGCAAGAATTTTCTGGGATACCACTGTTACGGTCAGAGCAAAGGATGCCATGTGAGTTTTGGCTATCTGAGCAGGACAAAGCTGATGATTAACCCAGCCTCCAGCAGGCTTAAATAGCATGGGAGCTATGAACAGAGTCAGTCCGTCCTCCTTCCTTCAGCCACAGTGCTCCTCATGAGCCGAAGCCATACTCAGAAGATATGCTCTCCCTGAGGATCGCCTGCCTCGTCGTGAGTGTGGTCAGCGCTGTCTGGGTACGTGCTTTCTTTTTCTCTCATTCTCTGAAATTTCTCCTACAAGGTGCTTTGATTCCAGAGTCTACCAGTCCTTTGTTCTTAGCGTTGTAAATGGCAGGCCATAGAGGCAAAGTCCTACATGGGCCTGACGAGTGTCCAGGGTAATGTGATATCGAGAGGAAGGCCACAGGGAAGTGAAGGAGTGTGACATCTGTCATTCAGGCTGATTCATCTGTCAGATTCAGTCTTCTGACATGGCGGTTTTGTTGGTTAGTATAGTTTCACAGTGCTGTGGATAGAGCTAGCCCAGTGGTTTTCAACCTTCGCAATTCTAAAACCACGCTGTGAGGCAGTGTGGTCTTTGGAAGGACTTGTAACTTTTATAGGTAACTCCTAAATACTGACATAATTTCCTGAAATTAAGCTCCACATGCATATAAAAAGAAAGAAACCTAAACCGATGGGCCTTCTGAAGCATTCTAATTTATAAAACATGTCAGCCATGTCCAAGGAGCTCAGTGGCAGCCTAATTGGTTACCCAGCATGTGTATGATTTCAGTTGTCTTCTTGACTCACCATTCAAAAACCTTGATAACAGAGAGTAAAGAATAAAATGCTTTTGTAGAACTAAAACTAAAATCACTAGCTAAGGCAATATTTCCAGATAATTTATAATTCTATTATTTTCATTATCTTTTATTATTATATTCAATTTCTGCCTGCTTTATTGTTGTACTATTTTTCTCTGAAATACAATAGAATTTACCACTGTATCTCTATACAAAAGGATTCTACTTGCTCTTTTAAATGAATTGTTCTTCACTCCTTTTATTATGATAATTAGGATTATTTGAATGTTCACAAATGAAAATGAGATGACTGTGTTGACTAATTATAAGGATGAACTATCCCAAACTAAAGTAGTGACAGTAAAATCCTTGTAAGTTGGTAATAGAGTGAAAATAATGAAAGCCTAAAAGCCATCTTCATCCATTAAATTATGAAGTCTTAGTGGACAAAATGTTTTATATTTCATTTGGTTTATAGCTGAGTATTTTTAGCTTCGTATTTCTAATTATAAGGTGTTCAAAAATTGGTAGTTGCTGACTACTGCTTCAACTGTTTATTATTTTCATTTCAAAAGCAAATCTACAATTGCATGATTGTACTACAAAACATTGCCAAGTTTTAACTTTCCACATTTATGTCCATGACAAATGTTTGTCTGAATCATGGACCAGCTCATTAGGTTACCATAGAAATCTGAAGCAGAAAAGGACAGTAAGTGTAAGATGTCATAGGTTTTTGCATACAGAAAGAGGACTATCAGGAGAGAAACACTAAAATTTTTCAGTTATCTTTTCATCTAGTCATGAAATAGAAGAAACCTGTGATATTTAACTAACATTATTAATCCAAACACTTTTTCTTTCAAAATTCTTTTCTTTAAAGTGTCTAACAAGTTGTTATGTAGAATCAACACAGTTGTAAAAAAAAAAAAAAATCACACCCTTTGTCTCCTTTGCTTCTCATAATGACTCCATAAAATCAGTAGCATTTTCATTTGATGGCAAGAAGCTGGCAGCCTGCTGAGGCCAGCAGCATTGGCTTTTAACATCTGCCTTTTTCCCCTGGGGGCTTGTGAGCATGACCATGTCTTCTCTGCTCTCTAACGTTATTGCCTCTGCTCCTGTTTGAATGTTTAAATGGACCCTTAAAGACCGCAGGCACCGAAAATGAATTCGAAGTAGCAGGAGGAGGAGTGCGTGGTCCAAGAGGTTTTGAGAAACATGAGAGTCACTGCAGAGAGGCAGACTGGCCCTTCTGCTCCGATGATGACTGGGTAAGCAGGGGACATGGTGAACAGCAGGTCATTCCTTGTGGCACCAACAGGCTATAAGCTCATTCAGTGGGTCCTGGAAACCTTTCCCCAGCTGAGACAATCTAACAGTAACCTAACAGCTTATATGCCAATCTAGAGAGAGAAAACAGAATGAAAACTAATCCAGTGGCATTGTCTGGTTACCTGGAGTCTCTGGTGGGATCATCCAAAAGGGATGCCTGAGAGGTGGGACTTCAAAATCCCCAGAGCCTCAAGCAAGACTCAGTGGACCTTCATGGCAGAATTTCCCTATGCCTTGTGAACTAGTCCGCTTAGCTACGTTTCAGTCAGTGGTTACTTGGAAGAGCTGGGGAGGGGAAGCAGCAGGGACTGTGATAACTTACATGTTCTTGTAGCTGAGAGAAAGGCCATTCATACAATCTCCCCCTTCTTTTCAGAACAGCAAATGCCCTTCCGGCTGCAGGATGAAAGGGTTGATTGAGGAAGTCAACCAGGATTTTACAAATAGAATAAACAAGCTCAAAAACTCGCTATTTGATTTTCAAAAGAACAACAAGGATTCTAACTCACTAACCAGGAATATTATGGAGTACCTGAGAGGGGACTTCGCTAATGCCAACAGTGAGTAGGATATACGTAGTGCTCAGACTTTCTCACAGTAGCAAAAAGGACAGTGGCAAAAACCCCCAACAATAACCTCTTCTTGAAGATACTGTGATTTTTTTTTTTCAAAGTACTCGGTGTGGAAATCACCGAAACTCAAGGAGATGTAGGCATTTTTACAGGAGTAGAGAAGTTAGGGCAGATTTTTCAAATGTCCCATATTTTGAAAATTAGAAGAGGCAGGCCCTTCAAGCAGCTAATCTGCATCAGTCCTACAGAGAAGGTCAAGACTTCTCAAAGACATGAATTGGCATCAGCTCCATATTCCGCTGAGCAAATTAAAATTACGTATTTTCAAGTCTGAAATACAGGGCCATGCTCAGCCTTACCCCTGGGGTAAGCACTAGGGCTAGGGAGCACGGTGGTCCCTAGACACAGAGAGCAAGCCCTTTAAAGTCCCAGTTCTTGAGGCCTTGTTTGCTTCATTTTGTCTTCCTGAGACACTGAACAATTTCATGCCAACAGCAGCACTGGCTGGCAGGTGAGTGATCCTGGTAACACGCAAAAGTTTAGAAAGAATTTTAATGTTCCAGGTAGAAAGAAAAATTCAACAGAAATGTCCAGTCATACATTCAAGTGCCATCAGTGAAGCTGCAATCAAATAACTGGATGTGGTCAAACTATTTACCTCCCAACCTGTTTTAAAGCTCTCGAGTTATTTCTCCTCCATTTATTTGGATTCCTTGTCATGAGCAGAATGGTGTGACTAATGCCTATAAATGACTTCTGTATGCAACAATCTAATCAAGCCTGCAATTTGCAGATTAAACACCCAAAGAACAAACTATGAAGGAATAAAGTATAGAAATTCTTTCTTTCTTTCTTTCTTTCTTTCTTTCTTTCTTTCTTTCTTTCTTTCTTTCTTTCTTTCTTTCTTTCTTTCGGGGGCATTTATAAGCAAATCAGTCTGCAGCCACCTGAATACCCTGTGTTTTCTATTTCAGACTTTGATAACGCATACGGTCAAGTCTCAGAAGACCTGAGACGCAGAATTGAAATCCTGAAGCGCAAGGTCATAGAGAAAGCCCAGCAAATTCAAGTTCTTCAGAACAACGTCAGGGCTCAGCTGATTGACATGAAGCGGCTAGAGGTAAGTGTGAGTCCCGGGACCGATTCGTCAGTGACAAAGAAGGAAAAGGAAAAAAGACACATGTTATCTACTGAGTGTCTCCTAAATCCATTATCCACCCAAAGCGGAAGTGTCTCCACCCTAGACATGAAGACTGAAGTCCAGAAGGAAAATCTTGAAGAGTGAATAGATAGTGTATTTCAAAAGAACGACCTCTGTTAATGTATGCTCACCACATTGAGACCTCTGTCTCAGCATCAGGAAGGCTCTTCAGTCTCACAGGGATTAGAGCCTTTCTCCCCATTCAAATTCTAAAATGGATCCAAATAGCTCCCACTGTACAACCTCCCTGACCCTGCACAGCGTCCAGTGTGGATGCCATGAGAGGCGAAAGACAAAGGGTAGGACCGATTCTCCCAGTGGTCAAAGGAATAAAACCCATTCCCAAAATGTAAACCAACTACCAGAAACTCAGTTATGTCAATAGACATAATTCATTTCTCTGTCTTCTTGGCTTTAGGTGGACATTGATATCAAGATCCGCTCTTGCAAAGGGTCCTGCAGCAGGGGTGTGAAGCGTGAGATAGATCTAAGGGACTATGAAAACCAGCAAAAACAGCTTGAACAGGCCATTGCTAAAGACTTGCTTCCTACGAAAGACAGGCAGTACTTGCCAGCCATAAAAATGGTTCCAGTTCCCGACTTGATTCCTGGAAGTTACAAGAGCCAGCTTCAGGAGGCCCCTCCAGAGTGGAAGGCGTTAACAGAAATGCAGCAGATGAGAATGGAGCTGGACAGGCCCGGAAAGGATGGGAGTTCGAGAGGAGATTCGAGAGGAGATTCACGAGGAGATTCGAGAGGCGACTCTCCAACTCGTGGAACAGGGGCAGCGGCAGAAAGCCCCAGGAACCCTGGACCTGGTGGATCTGGGTATAGGAGTCCTGGGAGCTCCGGGCCTGGAAGTGATGGAAGTCGGAACCCGGGGATCACAGGGTCTGATGGTACTGGAACCTGGGTTTCTGGAAGCCCTAGACCTGGCAGTTATAGGCCAGATAGCTCAGGTGCTGGGATCGTCAGGCCTAGCAACCCTGACTGGGGTGAGTTTTCGGAGTTCACAGGAAGTTCCAGCCCAGTGACAAAGGAGTACCACACAGATAAAGTGGTCACCTCTAAAGGAGATAAAGAGCTCCTGATCGGAAACGAGAAAGTCACCTCCACGGGCACAAGCAGCACACATCGTTCGTGCTCTAAAATCATTACCAAGACCGTCACAGGTATCGACGGGCGCCGAGAAGTGGTCAAGGAAGTGGTCACCTCGCATGACGGGTCTGACTGCGGCGGCGACTTAGACATGACCCACAGCTTTAGTGGCAGGCTGGACGAATTTCCCCATAGTCACCCCGAGCACGCTGCTTTTTTTGAGAGCCGGTTCGGCTCATTCCCATCTCACATCAAGGAATCTGGCAGCGAGACCCACGCTAGGGGCTCTGAGTCTGTCATCTTCACGGACGCTGAGGGCCCCGGCACCCACGTACCTGAGTTTTCTGCCAATAGCAAAACCTCAACAGTCAGAAAACAACACACATTCAAGAGCTATAAAATGGCAGACGAGGCAGGAAGTGACGCCCACCATGAAGGGGAAGCTCGGACCACCGCGAGGGGCCGTGTCAAGTCGCGAGCAGTGAGAGGTATCCACGCTTAACTTTCCGGAAGTTCCCCTGACCCCTAGATTAAGTTAACCATTTCTGCAGCGTGCTCCTGAGCACGCTGCACCCTTTCCTAACCTTCTGTAGTGCCTTGATGGAATCACATTCTTTTTTGTCAGTTTTTCACGCTAGACTGTACGTTCCGTGGGGGCAGGGACTTGGCCTTGTGTCTATTTCTGTAACTCCCAGATGCCTAACAGTGCAGTCATTTCTCAATAAATATATTTTAAATAAATGCATAAATTCTTCTGAAACTCAATTCTGAGTCTGTTTAACCGAATTCATTTAAAAAATGTGTGCTACTGTAACCCCCAACCCACTAACCTTAAGTTTACTGCGCCTCAGTTGGCATTTAGATCAGGTTAAAACCTTGTTCTGTTCATGTTGATTGATGATTGCTTAGCTAGCTGCCTTTAGTGATCAAATGCTATTAGTACCTGCACCAAGATTTCAAATCCATTTGACGAAGGTTTGCGTTTTGAAGACATAACTATCCTTTACATGCTTAAGATTACATCTCAGTGCAGGTGCATCCTTTTCCTATGGGAGGAGGGAGGAAGGAAGACAAAAAGAAGGAGGGCAGGCAGGCAGGCAGGCAGGCGATATCTGTCTTCTTTAATCTGGGCGACTCTTGTCTTTATAAAGTTAAATGAGAGTAACTTCCTCCAACCAGCTTAATTTTTTTTTTAGACTGTGCTGATGTCCTCCAAACACACCCTTCAGGTGCCCAGAGTGGCATTTTCAGAATCAAGCCACCCGGATCCAGTAAGATTTTTTCTGTTTATTGCGATCAAGAGACCGGTTTGGGAGGATGGCTTTTGATCCAGCAAAGAATGGATGGCTCTCTGAATTTTAACCGGACCTGGCAAGACTACAGGAGAGGTTTCGGCAGCCTGAACGACAAGGGGGAAGGGGAATTCTGGCTAGGCAACGACCTCCTCCACTTACTCACTCTGAGGGGCTCTGTCCTCAGGGTTGAACTAGAGGACTGGGCTGGGAAAGAAGCTCACGCTGAGTACCACTTCCGGGTAGGCTCTGAGGCGGAGGGCTACGCCCTGCGCATCTCCTCCTACCGGGGCACGGCTGGAGATGCTCTGATGGAAGGCTCTGTGGAGGAGGGGCCAGAGTACACCTCACACAGCAACATGCAGTTCAGTACCTTCGACAGAGACGCAGACCAATGGGAGGAGAATTGCGCAGAGGTCTATGGGGGGGGCTGGTGGTACAACAGCTGTCAGGCTGCCAACCTCAATGGCCTTTACTACCGCGGGGGCACCTATGACCCCCGGAACAACAGCCCCTATGAGATAGAGAACGGGGTGGTCTGGGTTCCCTTCCGAGGAGCAGATTATTCCCTCAGGGTTGTTCGGATGAAAATCAGACCGCTGTTGCAACCGTAGCTGAAGAGTAGAATGTGAACACTCTGAAGAAAACAAGGAGGATGAACAAGTCAGGAATCTAGTGAATTTTCTAAAAATTCCCAGGTGCTATTTCGTTGTTCTTTGTACTGTAGCTAAATGGAACTGAGACGTATTACTGCTTTGAAAAAGAATAAAATAAAATTGAACATTTTTTCACCTTTGAATACCTCTATGCGTTTTGAAGCTCTTGCAAGGAGATGCCAAGGGATATTCATTCCATTAGGGAAAGGGAGTCAGGTTTGAGCTCTTGTTGGCCACCCTGAAAGGTGCTGGTTTGAACGCTTCTTTTCTCAGAACCCTCAGACATAGGCTCCTGAAAGTACAGAAGCCAATTCACACGTGTGATTGATTGCCAGGGTTCTAAACTGACCTTCTGGGCCCAGATTAAACCTGTGCTTGCTGCCTCAGCTCTGCACTGTGGGCCTTGAGACAGGCTCTCTCACTGAACCTGGGGCTTGCCTGTTTCTCTAGCTGGCCAGTGAGCAACACAGCTCCTCTGACCGCTGGTGTTTCCAGGCTGTTAGCGGAGCTCCTAGCCTTTTGTGTGGTTGTCGGGGAGCTGAAATCAGGTCCTCCCTTTTTCGCACAGCAAACTCTTTACTGACTGAGCCACTGACTGGGCCCAGCAGCTTTTGTTGCTCTTTGTTTTTGCATTCCTACCAGTGACATAGACAGAGAAAGTGCACTTAAATCCTCTCCCCGGCAACTCTGCCCACCTGGCCATCAGAAAGCCTTTGCATTTGCTCTTGCTATTCAATGCTACTCTTATTCTCACAGCTTCTGAACTGGAGGAATTTGAAGAAAATCACCACCTCTTCCCAGCCTTAAGACCCACTCGACTCTTGAGTATTTATATAAATGAACCATTTAAAAAAAAAAAAAACTCAGTTCTGTTTAGTTTATTCTAGTTATAATGATCAACATGTTTTTCTGATATAATAACTTCCAATTCCACTCTTGGTTTTCTATCTGCAAGGAAATGTTTTGACCTTTATCAAGAATAAGATAGAACTTGAGAGCTGAACTGGGGCCGGTAGAAAGCCCTGTTGAGTCCCTTCTAAAACCTCGGCTACATTAAATCTCAGGGATCATCACTTCTCACTTCTGGAGGGAGGAAACTCCATTAATCCTCCCCCAGGAACTGATAGGGAAAAGACACGTGAAACAGCACAGGGTTTTAGGAAGCAAGATAACACAGAGGTCAGAAGTCATCCTCTGGGCCCCTGCCCAATGCTAATCTGATCTACAAGGACTACAAGGTATGGTATGTCAAGACATAGGAAGCCATTCCCACGTGGGAGAGGAAGGAAAACTGGTGAATTTCAACATAATTCAAGCCAGTGTTTGTTCTATGTTCTGGAGGTGACCTAGCAGCACTGACCTGTGCTTCAGAGGTAACCTAGCAGAGCTAACCTATGCTACAGAGGTAATCTAGCAGAACTGAAGTATGCTATAGTGGTATTCTAGAAGGGCTAACTTATACTATAGAGGTACCTATTGGAGTTAACCTATGCCACAAGGTGACCCAGTATAACTTAGGACTCAGAAAGCATGAATAGATACCTTCAGAAGTGATATCCACCCCCTAGTCTTGAGCACCAAAAACTGAGCCTTAGAATTCTATTGTCACTTTTTCATATGCACAATGGACACACAAAAGAAATCTGTGATGCATGCTAACATTAAACTAAGCCTGACTAGTAAGTCCTATGTCAGGCTGAGTCACCATAACTATCTGCTTGCATGCATGATTTGAGGGGAAGTTTAGAGCATTTTTAAATCTTCCATGAACTGGGAGTTCACGCCTATAATTCCATCACTCAGGAGAATCCATGCAGGTTCAAGGCCAGCCCGGTCTACACACCAAGTTCCAAGTCAATGGAGGAAGGAAAAATCCTTAATAAATAAATGAATGTTCAAGAAACAAAAGGTTTTTGGAGCCTTTCTGACTTGATACAGAGACACAGAGCTTCCTGCCTGTAGAGAATGGAGAATGTGTATTTAAGTCTAAGCATTTGTCTCCAAGACGGCCTCAAACATGAAGCCTACTAAAAGACATGTGATCAGAACATACACTTAGCCCTGATGTGTATATAGGTATCACAGCCAGAGGTAGCAGCAAGACTGATATTAAAAGTTCGTATGCACACACACACACACACACACACACACACACGTGCTAAAGCCCCCTCCCATCTTTATGAACTACAGACTCAGAAGAGGCCACTGTTAAAGGGACTTGACTGACAGGTCTTTCACAGGGTTTGCTGGCTGAGGAGCTCCCTAAAGTGCAGGAGCACGCTTGGCACTCCATCCCAAAGTTGAGATGTAAATACCCTGGGATTTACTCCATCCCAGGTGTAAATTCAATTGTGTTGGCCATATTCCTCCTAGAAGCACCTGTGAAAGCAACCAGGCACTAAAATCCTTATCGCTGACAGGCAGTGAAACAGCAAAACAACTGTCTGAAACTGAGCTTCTTTCTATTAGAAAATCAAAGTTAATTTGATTTTAAGGTTCTTTAACCAGGCCATGAGATGGCTCAGCAGGTGAAGGTGGCTGCTAAGTCTGATGCTGAGCTCAGTCGGGACACAAACACAGTGGGAGGGAACTGTCTCTGCCTTCCAGACTTGCACACAGGCATACACTAAATGGACATACTATTTTTTTAAAGAGGATATTCTATAAGTTGTCTGAGAAACCTGAGCGAGTGATAGTTCAGCAGGTAAGGTGCTTGCCACATAAACCCGATGGCCTCAGTTTGGCCCCAGGAACCCATGTTTGTAATCCCAGTGCTTTTACTATGACAGGGCAGATAGCAACAAAAGACCCACTCAAATTCTCCTGCTCCAGCCAGCATGCAGTATGCAGCATGGAAGGAATGAGACGCTACCTTAAAAAGGCAGACAAGAAGCTTCTTCTCAGGCCTTTCCACACAGGCAGGGCATGCTCATGCCCTCCTTCTCACTTCTCTCTCAATCTCTCTCTCTTCCTCTACACACAGGCACCCCCCCACACACACACACACAATCAGAGTACAAAAATCCTTAAAACATAAAGAAACTATTCTTTAAATACTCCTTTGTCTGGGAAAAAGATAAGCTGCCATTAAAAAAAAAAAAACTACAAAAATGGAGTATTGAGAAAACAAAGCTAGATTAAAGGCAAGAAAACCACAAAAGTTGAATGTTAACACAAAAGTTAACTTTTCAATCTATTAGTATCATTAAGCTCTTAATGCTCCCTTCAGGTCTTGGTATCCAAACTGGAGGATGAAATCTGCGGATCTCTGCCAGCTGCTTTCTAAGGCTTGTGGAAAGACTGCCCCTGCCAGCACTGCACTGTCCTGCTGTGCATGCTTTCTCTGCTTCTTGAAGCCTCAGCCTCCTGCTTTCAGATGCAGTAGGAAGCAGCCTTTAGCATGCTTTCCACTGTGTGGTCAGTGAAGAACACAGAAAAACAGCGCCCGGGGTGGAATCTTGGGCCCCGAGGAGGAGGCTGTGCAGTGAGGCTCCCTGCAGCAGTGTGAAGGCAGGAAGACACACTCCACACTGTGGTATGGAAGATGGGGAAACGGTCTGACACATAGAGCGTGAGATCTCAATGCACATTTATAGCATAAAAATTTTAATGCACCATTTTCATAGAGGAAAATGTCAACCCTTTGTGGCTGAGTTTCACATTAACTGAAAGTCATTTGCTTAGAAACTACCTGTCAATTTGGAAACAAGTCTACTTCTTTTTCCTTATTCCTAAACGAGGAGACAGACAACCAGCTGGACACACACACACACACTTTAATGGCTTCATTTGTTCTAAATTGCTTGTGTATGTGTTTGTGCGTGTGTAAACAACCACTGTCTCTAAGTCTTTTTGACGAGAAAACTGATGAGATTTTAAAAAAAAGAAAACAACACTCCCACCAAAGCCAGGTAATCCTTATTCCTCGAATATCCCTCACTATCTAGATTGCACTGTCCTGCAGGTACATCTATAAGGGATTCTCTTCATTACTTTAATTGACGTGAGGAGACAGAGCCCGCAGTGGGTGGCACCAGGTCCTGGATTTTGGATTCTGGACTTCATGCTAGAAGTACTAGAAACATACATCTGCTTTTCTCTGCTCTTGACCATGTTTGTGACACGACTATTTTAAGTTCCTGTCACCTTGACTTCCCTATTGTGATGGATTATATCCATGAACTGTGGGGACCCTGTAAGTTGCTTTTTGCCAGGGTGTTTTATCATAGCAACAGAAAGAAACTATGTATGGCACTTAGCATTTATTAAAACAGGTATCCATAGTCATAATATGAGCTCTCTGTAGGTAAAAGACTACACAAAAGCAGTTTCTGAGATATTCTTGATTTATTCACTTATTTGCACATTTGCTACCTCATTGATAGCTTGAAGATTTAGTTTCTTTGTTTGGTTTTTGAGACTGTGTCTCTACGTAGCTCTGGATGTCTCAAAATTCTCTACATTGGCCAGGTGGCTTTGAACGCACAGATTGACCTGTGTCTGTCTTCAGAGTTGCTGGAGTTAAGGGCATGGGCTACCATATCCACCTTGATGGGTGTTTTTAACTGATGTTTATTAAATTCAAGTATAGGGAAATATCCATACGTAATTGAAGGTGAGAGCAGGGAGGGCCTTGAGTGTCATGGAGAGGTGTGATAAAGGTGAGTGAACATAAAGGAACCGCCAGGTTTCCAGTGATGATGGCCGAGCAGAGGTCCTGCTGTCCATCAGCTCATGGCTGAAGGTGGGTGGCTGTGATTGCAACAGAGCACTCTGAAAAATATTTGCTAAGCTCACCTTTGACCCAGCCGCAGAGGTTTTTGACCTCAGAATTGTGCACCTACAAGGTGGTTGCAAAATTGTGCTAGGTGTCTCCTTCGGTGAGGTCCAGCACACAGAGCAAACAGTGGCTGGGTGTGGGTGAAGGGCACGGGGTACTCATTAAACTGCTCCTGAAACTGGCCTTCTGTCTGAACCTTTCAAAAGAAAATGTTAAGACAAGAAATAAGTGTAATCTGGACAGTAGCATGTTACTCTGTGAGTCCTGAGGAGGCCAAGGCTGTGACAGTTTTAGGTCTTTAGGTAACTGATGGGCACTCTCTGAAAGGAGTTAAAGTCCAGCCAAGAGAGTTGTGTGAGCCTGGCAGGTAAAGTGATGTTAAACTTTAGGGACCTGTTAAGCCCAAGTCCCCTCTTAAACATAGGCGGTGGGTCACCTGTGAAGTCATGGCAACTTCAAGGATGACTGTGCTCAGCAGCTGTGGTCCATGGCTGCCACCTGCATCAAAAAGGCACCAGGTCGGAAGGATAAAGAATCTCCAATAAATATAAACATATCAGTCATTCCAAAATCCAGCTAGTGATCAGAAACTCGTGGGGTGTTTATTGAAAAGCAGAGGGTCTTTATAATAAATTCAGGTTAGCACTCAGAAACCTCTGCTTTGCAAAACACCTGAAGATTAAGCTGGGCATGGTGGCACAGGCCTTTAATCTCAGCACTACTTGCTAGATATATTTGCACATGACAGATTACCCAGGGGGCACCTACTTCTACTTCTGCTGTTTGAACTCTGAGGACTGGCCATCACATCTTTCCAAGCTTTAGTGGTTTTTAATGTGGCTTTACCGTAGGCTCCAGGGGCTCATCCTGCCATCTGTGTTTGCTTAAGGGATAGACCAAAGGTCTGAGGATCATGCTTTTTGGCCTCCCTTAACCACTGAACTTTTGTACTTTCAAAATTCTGCCTCCAAGTATTCTGCATTTTGAATGTCCATGCTTGTGTGTGTGTATATGTGTGTTTATGTGCCTTTATTGGAAGAAAAATCTATATAACACATATACACAAAAACAGCATATACAAAAGGAGATATCAAGGGCCTTGGCCATTCTTGGGGTTTATTCATTCAGTGTTTATAAACGACAAGCTGTCCATGCTGGAGTCAAAGTTGAAGACAAGTTTCACAGGGAAGCAAAACAAACAGGGTGGTGGCTGGCATTCGTTGCTAAAATGTGAGCAATGTCCTAAGGCTTCTGGAAAGTCCTGACAGCGAACAGTCGACTGAAGGCTTCAAAATCAACAGCGATTTGTCAGACTGTAGAGGGGAAAACCTACCGCCGGGCCTGGCCAGCTTGATGGTCACAAGGATGCGGGTTGTCCCTCAAGACCTTACACAGCACGTGTTTGAGTTTGTTCTTCAGAAGTGGGATTGTTTGATCACCAAATCAATTCACTTTTTCTTTTCTAAGGGAGTCAGGCTTTATACAGTGGCTTCTTTGTTTTATATTTTCATTTAACAATGAGATGCTATTCAGCATGGAATGGGAGGGGAAAGGGGGGGTTTTTGATGTGTATAGAGTTATAGTACTGGGTAAGTTCCAGTGATCCCCTGTGGACAGATGTGCAGTATTGTGCACTTAAAAAGGGTTTCATGTCAGGTGTTGGCACCTTAAAATAATGAGGCCGAACACAGAGACACTGGGAAAGTCCAGGAGGTGATGGATGTAATAAGACCATGTGGCTGAGGGGCATGTGTGTGCCCGCCTGTGAGCAGGTGCGAGTAGAAATCTGGTTGGAGTTTGACGATGTACAAACTTATGTAGGCAAGTTATTTTCTTTCTTTTGGTGTGTGTGTGTGTGTGTGTGTGTGTGTGTGTGTGTGTGTGTGTGTTTGCACTGAGAATCAAACTGAGTAATTTTTGTTTTGCATATAAATTATAATTCAATAAAGCTGTTAAAAAGATTTAAGGGACTGATTTGTGGTGGAAAGCCTATTGTGACAGAAATGTAGGTATGTAACGAAATGGGCAGGAGACAGTGAAAGGGGGCCATTCATGACCGTTTATGTCCAACTATGGGATTCAAGTGCAAGACATTCAGCCATTGGTCACACAGAACTAACTTCAAACAGGCAGGTTACTTGGGCAGAGTTGGCTGTCTTTTTGACAGTGAGGAAGATATCAGCAGGTGTGGTATAGAGTGTGATAAACAGAATCTGCGGCATCAAGGCCAGAAAAAGATACAGTTCAAAGGACAAGGCCCTAAGAGAGAACATTTCTGAGAAGCAAATTAATCTTCACCTAAGTGAAAACTGAGATGCACTAAGTCCAGTGCAAACAGGCAGCAATGACAAGAGCAGGAAGGGACAGCAGGAATGTTGCAATGGGCACCCATGGGGGACGTATAAAGGATGGAAAAGCATTGTTCCAGTATTAACTATCTACAAAAGAACACTCTAACTTCCCAGGTCACCGTTTCCCTAAGAAACACCCCACGACAACTTCATCTAACGGCTTGCTTGGACCCTGGGCTTGAGGTCTTCTTGAAAGGAAGACAGTCGTTTTCCCACGGAACAGTATGTCTTTTGACTCTACAAATGTTCAAAGTCAGCTTGGTAGACATTTGAGATTTTAAATAATTTCCTGCCCTACAAATTCATATCCTGACAACATGGATCACAAAATAAGTAGACATTAACTTATGACAACAGAAAGACAGGTTTATGTAATTAGTCTGTTAAAGAGTTTTTTGTGTGTGAGAGATACCTTACATAAATAAATAGGATTTTGAAACCAGGCTTATAAACGCCAACTTCTGTTTGTGTAACACTTCTCTGTGACAGGGATTTCTACTTCTTACCCTGAAATGCTCCACGGTCAGCTGGAACCAACTGACTCTGAGTGATTCTGTCCGTTCCATCAGAGCTCTCCAGGAAGGGTAATACAATCGAGGGCTGGAGAGAGGCTCAGAAATGCAGGCCTGACTTCAGTTGCAGCCCCAACGTCAGGAGGCTCATGGCTGCTGTCACCCCAGCTCTGAGAAGAGCTGACCTTTCTGCTTCTGCAGGCCCCGCACTTCCGTGCACATATCCACACACATCCACATAATTCAGAAACAATCAAAATAAACTTAAACTAAAAAGGACACAAAGGAAAGCCATGTGCTGGTTTTCAATGTCTTTATCTCATACTTTTCAAAAAATACATAAAATAAAACACAAAGAGACACTCAACCATTGTTTTGAGTTTTAATGGATGTAATGTATCAAAGAATGTTCCGATAATATAATGTAAAAAATGTCCCACGTAGAAGAATAGAAGTCTGTGTGTGGAGGCTACTGCTGTGGGAAGAAGGGCCTGATCTTCATAGACATCTTCCTCAGGGAGTACCAGGAGCCCTTCCAGTTCATCCACACGATGCCATCGTCTGTGCCATGCTTGGACATGTCCCAGCTGTAGACACCACCCCAGTAGTATCTGCCGTTTGGATTGGCTGCATGGCATCGGTTGTACCACCATCCGCCACCATCTTCTTTTGAGCACTGCTTTCTTGGGTCCGCAGTTAACCTGAAAGGAAACCGAGTGTGGATCATGACGCACACAGGCACCACTGTCCCTTCACTTCTTTTGGAGAGTACCCACGTGCGAGCCGCATACTTGGTTGTACGTGGGACCCTTTCCCTTGAGTCCTGTAGTGAAGCTCAATTACAGCAAAGTGCTTCTCTGCCCCAAAGCAAGAAAAGAAAAAAGCTGGGTCTGTCTGGCCTGATCATAAGGGACTGAACTGTTTTATTCTGAAATAACTTTTCTGATACTGTGGTCTGAGGGACCCTGAGACAGGAAATGATAGCTTCAGTACATGCACTAGTGAATAAAACACAGATGTTTATACAGACTCATAAAACTCTACTTGTAATTCTATATTTGCATAGTTGTCTGGCTTAGGGTAAATTTACACCTCTAAATTTCATCTGAAAGATAAAATTAATGATGTCCTTCTTACAGCTGGGGTGTTTTCCATTGATAAGAAATGAGTTCAGGACAGGGGCTGCCTGACACACTTTAAGTATCCAAGTCTGGGCACTTGCTATTAGGTACGCTCATGGTGCTGAGTGACAGTGTCAGTGGCGACTTCTAAGACCAGAGGGAAGCCTGCAGTGCTTACCAGCCATCATTGTCCCTGTCATATGTGCTGAAGAACATGCCATTGTGGATGGTCATGGTTCTGTTTTCCCCCACCAGCTGAGAGGCCCCATCCATGAGGGCATTTCCGGCAGTCCCTTTGTACTTGTCCACGGAGAGTTGGTACTTGTTAGCCTCGTTCTGCACTGTGAAGCCTCCATAAAGTGCCTTCACTTTGTCTCCTTTCCAGTCCTCCATTTCAATCAGAAGTTCTGTGGGTCCCATCCTGGTAAGCTGGCTAATCTTATCATTCCCGAGCCAATATTCACCTAGAGAAGACAAAGGTCAAATATCAGCAACACTGAAGGCTGGGACATCACTGAGACAAGCTGGAGACCTACGACAGGGTAGGCTACAGGGAGGATATGGAGAATCCATAAGATAGGCAGAGATGATGATAGGGCAGAGATGGAGGGAATGACAACCCGTGCCTGCCCCAACCTGACACCAACCCTGTGGGAGAGAGCTAACCCCTGACACCATTAACAATACTCTGCTCTGCTTACAGACAAGAACCTAACTTAACTGTTCTCTGAGATGCCCCAGCAGCTGATCAAATCAGATGCTGAGACTCACAGTCAAGCATCAGGCAGAGCTCAGGGAGTCCTGTGGAAGAGTGGGAGGGAGGGATAGTAGGACTTGGAGGGGACAAGAATGCTTCAAGAAGACCAACAGAGTCAACTAAACCATGGCAGCTTACAGAGACAGAAGCACCAACCAAGGAGCATCCATGGACTTGACCTAGGCCCCCAACTCATATGTAACAGATGGGCATTTTCATCTTCATGTGGGTCCCCTAGTTGAGCAGGTGCTGATTATGACATGGACTCTGTTGCCTGATTTCGACCACTTTGCCCTAGCCAGGCTGCCTTGCCCAGCCTCAGTGGATGAGGGAAGCTCAGTCCTGATGAGATTTCATGTGCTGGGATGGGTTGGAAGGGGAGCTCCCCTTTTCTGAAGACAAGGAGACGGGGTATAAGGTGAAGATGGTGGGAGGGAGGGACTGGGAGGAGAGGAGGGAGAGGGCTATAATGGAGATCTAAAGTAAACATATAAATATAAATAAATAAGTAATATAAAAATAAATTTTAAAAATCTAAAAGCGGACTCTCTATCCTTGATGTTTTTAATGAGGAAAAGTCCTCATTAAAACTGAATGATTTTATTTTGCACTCATGGTCTTTACCTGGCAGACCACAGTACTTCTTTGCATCTTCATTGGTTGCAATATTTCCAAATCCTTGTTTGTATGGTTCCCATTTCCTGCCAAAGTCGACGCTGCCATCCTGACGGTTCTGTATGACTGTCCACCCTTTAGTTGACAGAAAGAAAATTAGGCTAAGGTAACCAGTAATAGCATCACTCTGAAAGGAGATTTTAACCATTATCCGTTTTTTCTTTTTTATGTGTGCTATGGTCGGCATAGATTCGGTTAGGAAACAAGGAGGAGGAAAGAACTCTAAGAACATCTGGAAATGTCAAGCCTTGCATGGCATCTTAACTCTTAAAGCTTTTCAAATACCAGCTTGAATTTCAAATCTAGTGGCTCCTTGGCAGCCGTGTGGGAGCACAGCCTTGTTTCCTGGCATCCAGAACACTTGCAGGGTGACACCCCAGCCAGTGACTGAGCAGTGCTCACCTCCGTTCTCGGTGTTCATGTCGCAGTATACTCTGTAAGGCTTGACGGAGGTGTCGGGTTGGATGAGGTACATTTCGGATGTCTCACCTCCTTTCCTGATGATCTCCTCACACTCTGCAAGCAAGCGATGATGCGTTATGCTCAGGGACAGTAACAGCCCTAAGCCACTCATTCTTGAACATGGCCGATTCCACTGGGCACAGAGCACCATTTTATCACAGACATTTGAGAACAGTGCTCTAGGAGCTGGCCCTCCTTTTCACTGAAAATCAAACTAAGTTCGGAGGAATTCTGTCAAGTGAATGATAAAGCTCCCTTTATCTCATTGCCCTACAAATAGAGGGTTAGAGATGAGAAAACTTCTTCATCTCTCCTTGGCCCTGCTACCTGTTCACACAAGCACATGCTTGCACACATTAGGGATCCCGGGACCTCCGTCCTCAATGTTTGCTACTCAGCGAACTGGGTGGAATTATCAGCCAAGGCAGAAAACAACACGCCCAGGCTACGGCAGGATATGCTAGAAAAGTATGATGTTCTGTTGGGGAGACGCGACTCTGTTCTCGTCTCCACCCCTGTGTGTAGGGAGTGCTGGCCCCTCTGGAACTCAGTGAAGGTGGTGCACTGACTGGTACCTTTGCCAGTCACCACGGGGACATTGCAGCTGACGGTGCACGGGGTACGGCAGTATTCCATTTGAGCTGAGATGTCAGATTCTAATTTCTGGATTTTGCTTCTCAGGTTCTCCAGGATGGAGCGGAGCACACGAAGGTTGTGGGGGATGTTGTCAACCACCGTCTCATCAATGTATAACCTCTGGTCTTCCAGGATGGACGAATACTCGTCTATGACATTTTCGTTATCTGAGAAAACAATATCATGCAGACATGGTCAGCAGGTTTGCTTATAAAAGTATACCTAACTGTATAAATGTGGGTTCTGTTTTCTGAGAGTGAGCTAGGAGACTGGGCTCACTGCACAATCGTGACTGTTGAGCCTCAGAGGCTCCGTTAGTTTCATGGCATGTATAAGCTGGCATGCAGCCCAACTACCACTCCAAGGATTCACAAGCTGAAGCTCGTATATGGCGACAAACACAAAAGTCCTGTCTTTCTTTGGTGAGTAGCATTTGAAGGCTCCATCTCAACATGTCACATCTTGTAGAGCAGAGGCACTTGGTACGTGCACACCCATGAGTTCTGCAAAGTCTCGGGATTTATAAGAATATTTCAGAATGCCTTTGATTCCTGAATGTCTACACTTGGGTGAGCTAATCTCTGAAAAGCCTGTGCCATGCTGACACCCAACTGCTTCCCACTCGCTGGGCCTGTCGCCCTCAAGGTTCTCATGCCAGAGGTCACTACTTGCAGATTCATGTCACACTGACCGTTCTCATATTGAACACATCAGACGTTAAACTTACAAATACTAAGTTTTTGCTTTGCACATGTTATCTTCTGAGTAATGACAAACTTCTAATAGACTGAAAATAAGAAAGGAAACTGACACTTCTCATAGGAAGTCATTGCAGTGAATGTAGCACCAAGACTAGCACTTGAGAAGTGCTGTTCTGGCAAACTGCAGATGAAAGAGCCTGAGGGAGAACCCAGGGCAAGCAGGGACAGACAGAAATCAGCGCAAGTGCTGGTTAACCTCGGATGTTTGCGTGCACAGGACTCTATATCCATAGCTGACAGATTCAACTTTATAAGCCAATCAGGCAGAACCCGGCCACCCCCAGGATGGCTACCTTTAACTTGTGCCTGCTTCTTTTTCCACATGTCTTTTAGCAGAGTCAGGTACTGAAAGGTGGTGGAAGAAGTCTCAGAGACAGACTCTATGTTTCTATTTAACTCAGCAACGCTGGTCTTGATTGGCCTTTCCTGGTTTAGCAAAGTTTGCTGCAATTGACACCCTGTAGGACACAACACTCCCTGTAAACAAGACAAAGAAACAAAAAATAGGTGTTAGCGAAGTGGATGTTTGTTAAAAATGTACATTAGTGGAACATCAGTGATTTCGTGAGTCAATTAAAATAACTTGATTATTTCATTTTCTTTATGGAAGACCAGAAACCTTAGAATCATCAGTGAACTCTTACAAAAAACAGAAATAGTTCTTACCACAGGGGGAAAAAAGTAGAATCAGGATACAAAATTTTTACACACCCCAAATGAAGAAAGTAGGCAAAATACAAAAGTAAAGACAACACCCCAATACCCTCCCTTGTTATCTTAGCTCCTGTCCCAAGAGTCCGATAAGGAAGAGTAAGTACAAAAAAGGGACTCAATTGAGTTCATACTTTGAACTTTAATTCTTAAATATGAAAAAAATAGTGATGGACGAGATGTTGGTCCATGAAATTAAACTTTCTCTACACAGAGCCATCCTGCAGACCACCAATGTGCCTACCAGGTCTGGGTCAGCGTGAAGACAGCCGTCTGCGTCGGGAGGTCTTCTCTCTACTTTCTTCTGGCTAGTAGTAACTTTGGCTGGGCGGGCTCGGTAGCCTCCTCCGCTGATAGGAGGGGGGGCGGGTCTCAGGCTGAGGGGGGCTTCCTTTCTCCTGTCAATGGGTCGATGGCCACGGATATCCACCTTTTCCACCTTGTCCTGCAGGAACCAATCGGAAACACAACACCAGCAAGGTAAGAGAGGCTTTGTAGCAGAGGTAGAACAAGCCCTGTGGTTTGCTACACGGCTTTCTGTTGGCTGAATCAGGTTATTTGTGTCTCTTCAAGCGGGTGGACGATCGACGACCCAGAAAGCTATTGCACAAAGCTAAGGAAGTTTTATAAGGTAGATGGTCTGAGGCTAAGACAAATACCCCAGCCTGTGTAATCTAAGCATTGGAACACACAGAACTGTCAGGAATCTAGAAAGTAAAAAAAAAAAAAAATTCTCATGCCACTTGGGTTAGTAAATTCCTATAGTTGATATTAATCATTTCCCCAACGTTTAACGTTTGTAAATTGATGACCAGGCTGAGTCACATATGGTCACATTTGAGACAAGATTATCTAGCTAAGGAAAACTGACTAGTAATAAGACAACGTCTGGCCCTAACATGTTACAGAGAATTAAGATACTGTGAAGTAAGGTACTGCTTTAGTTGGTCTCAACATTCACTTTAGGCAAGTTACTTTATTCATGACCCAGTTTCTCATTTATAAAATAGGGACAAGTACAGCTAATATCGGCCTTATAAGACTGTTGTAACTGTGGGAACTGTGTAAGCGAGAGAATGTGTAAACAAGGGAAGCATGGTTCCCTCGTTGTACCTTCTTCTTACTCTTTTCCTTGTGTCTATGCTTCAAAGATACTTCTTCACAATTCCTCTTCTAGTCTCAGTTTTCAACAAAAGTACTTGTCAAGCTACCCTCTTGAAACTCCAAGCACAATTTCTGTATCTATCAAACGTGACGCTGCTCTCACACTCAACAGGATTTTCAGAGTTTATAGACTGCATTAAGGGTTACTTGCTAATTTAAAATTCCCAGACCACAGAGGAGGACAAGGCAGCCAGTCCTGATGCGACCTGATAAGCTAGGGTCAGATGGAAGGGGAGGAGGACCTCCCCTATCAGTGGACTTGGAGAGAGGCAGGGAGGAGATGAGGGAGGGAGGGTGAGATTGGGAAGGGAAGAGGGAGGGGCTACAGCTGGGATACAAAGTGAATAAACTGTAATTAATATAAAAAATAGAAATTTAATTTAAAAAAAAGATCTCCAAATGGAAGAGACTCAGTCCAGCGTGGAGGCTGGACTTGGATGAAATGTGTCAATCACGATTCCTCATCAGTAGCTTTCCTCTGAGTGTCGCATCTGCAGATAAAGGGGCAACAAACCCTGAGCAGTAGATGAGCTCCCTTGCAGTGTGTGCCTCTAAGTCACCACAGGAGCAGCTGACACTTCACTGTCACTTGTTAATGAAATCATTATAATAGTTTACATTTGATAGGCCGATGAGAAGAAGAAACCCTGATAGGCTGGCCACAGATTCCTTGCTTAATTACTGATTAACACCCCCCTCCCCATTTGTGTATGTATAAGTGTATATACACCTCTATTTTTAATGGGTGAACCTTCGGGGGGTATACATATTTAATACTAAAGACATGGTCTTAATCAGAGCATGCCAGCTCTCACACAAATTTAATGAAATGTGATTTTATTCATTGCAAATACAATTATGGAAAAACTACTGGTTTGTTTGTTTGTTTGTTTTAGAATATGTATCAAGGTGATGTCAAGTGGCTTTACTAGAGAAAATAAATAACAAATACTGGAAGAACCAATGGGGACAAGTGTTAGGGAAGAGCACTTACAGAAATAATTAAAAGCAGGAATCCCACATTGGAACTTAATCTAATAGGGTTAATCAGTAAGAATCTGAAAGCACTTCTGAAGTAATTTATTTAAAAAGATGTACCCAAAAACATTTTCTACGTTTTTCTTGCCTTTTTATTTGTATGATCAGATATTCTGAATGTTTACACTTCCTTCAATCTGATTGTCCACAGTGACTCAACTTACTGTAATGTCAGTGTGCATTCTGACGGTAATGTCAATGTGCATTCTGATTTCTATTGTATGTGTATACTCTACAGGGTAAGTTTCACCCTGACACACCTAGTAATACGTTTTAAACTATTTTCTTAAATGCACTTCTAATTTTTTATGACATCAAAATAATACTGATAATAAGTTGGTGAAACTAATACTTGGATTGAGTATGGAGACTCAAGCTTGTAATAGGTGCAGTCAAGATGCCTAGGCCAGCCAGCCAACACACGCCTTTAATCCCAGCATTAGGGAGTTAGAGGGAGGCAGATCACGGAGATTTGAAGATCAGTCTGGTCTTACATAGAGAGCTTCAAAGAGGGCCAGAGCTACATAGTGAGACCCTGCCTGAAATAACAAAGTGGAGACAGGAGGATTGCCACAAGTTTGAGGCCAATCTGAGTTACAAGTGAAAACCTATCTCAAAAAGAAAAAGAAAGAAAGAAAGAAAGAAAGAAAGAAAGAAAGAAAGAAAGAAAGAAAGAAAGAAAACATGAGGAAATACAGTTCTACAAGGAAGTTATGCTATATATTAATAATGGCAACAAACATTACCTCTGTTATAATTTTTTATCTAAAAAACCCCAAAATTTCATTTTCTGATTTTACAATTATCATTCTTACCCTTATTCAATAATCTGCAGAGTTATATACTAGCTTATTCAGTGAAGAGCAAAGGATCTACCATAGTTTATTTTTCTCTTTCAAAGTACTAATCTTTTACCATTATAAAATCTATACATTGAACAATTATCGTAATTGTAATAATGTATTTCAAGAACTAAGTAAAAATTCATAGAAGTAAGATAACAAGACAGAAAAAAAAAATCCACCTTGCATTACCTAAGTCATCTTCATCCTGGAAAAATAAAGGTGATTAAACCAGAAAACAACGTATGGTTTTGCTTTCATATATAGTTCTATGAAAGTCACGTAGGTCCCTGAAATTAAGGATTCAGTTTTGTAAGTTTAACCAAGGCTACGTTAACTTAAATAACAATTCACCCAAAATTATGGTTCCATTATTTCATGTTAATAATATTAACAGCAATATAGTAATATCTGTTAAAAAAAATTACCTGATCATCGTAGTCATCATCGGCAGCTTGAGTTTGAACTGAGACAACACACAACAGCAGCAGCCATAGGACCTTCATGGTGTCAGATTTTCCGAAATTCCAAGCAGTCGCCCTTTGCTGCAGACGTAGCTGGGACACTGTGGAACCTATATATCACAGGCTCTCTCCCGGTCGTGACTTCAGAAACGGTTATCTGCCTTTAGTTAATGTTTGAGCTTTTGCTTCACTCGTTGGCTGAACTGCTTTATCTTTTGAGCAACCTCTTCCCAGCAAGCCTTATTTACCTGTGGGACAACTCTCCTTTGCTGCTGGCCTCATGAGGACTCATGGAGGTTCTTCCATTCATTGAATCAGGGGAAATGATGGAAATGGGGACATTCTAAGAAGATCCCCATATCAGAGGTCTTGTGAATTCACAAAGAAGATGAAAGGTTTGATTACAACAAAAGTGTTTGTCCTACTCAAAGGGGACTCAGTAAAACTAGAACCTCAGTAAAGAGATCCATGCACACTCACACTCTGAGTCAGTGGCGTGAACACTTTTGTGACGAGTATATGCTATCATGGCCTATCCTTTGATGTCAACCAGAATTATGAAGTAGACATTTTTCTGTGATGTGATAGATAAACATCAGAGGAAAAATAAAAAGGCTGGGGTTCTCTTTTATTTCTGCTCTGACTGGCTTTTGTGCTTTGCCCTTTTTTTAATGGTTAAAATTTTAAATCAATTCTAAACACTATTATGATATCAGTAAAATATAAATACCTAAATCAACATGATTGTTGTTGCAATGGGATACACAGTCAACACTTCATTTTATTACTATGCTATATATCTTATTTGTGTTATATCTACACAAGAGGATATCATTTTAACCTTCGTGAAGTTTCTGTGTGTCTTTCAGTTAGTATAGCCTGCAGTAAATGTCATTTCTCAGAAGCCACCACTTCCGTCTTCTCTGTTCATTTCTTTGCAGTAGAAAGGTTCTAGCACCCCTCCACCTCCACACACCACACAGAGATCCAAAGTCAACACCTCACATTCCAGCAAGCACACTGCACGAAAGCGCTCCTGGGTTTTGTGTGGAAAGTGAGGCATTCTCGTAAGCTTTACAACATACTCTTATAAGAAAGATAGCAGACGAATTTGGATCATGAAAGTGGTTTAAACAATGTTTTGAAACAGAGAGGCTGGGTATCTACTCTTGAGAGTACACTATACCAAATTCCTTTAACTTAGACTGTAGAAACAAGGTCTGAGTTTAGATACAGGGAAGCACTGATTTCTTTGCCAATCTGTGCTTCATTTGTCAGGATGAGTAAACGTATTTTGGGATTCTTTATTTTATTTTTTTCTTAGAAAAATATACAATCTGACAGAAAAATAGTTTGTGTATGTGCATTAATCAAAATGAGATATGAGGATATACTTTCAAAATATAATTGATAAAACAAACCCATCCTAATGATTTGGGCAGGATTTCATTGCTGTGATATTTATATTTTTGCTGATTTTAAAATAACTATTTTAAAGATTAACTTTTTTTAGATGTATGGTAGTTCTCTATTTCCAGTCCTGACAGGTCACCTCCTATCACCTCTGTGCATTTTTAGCATCTCTGAGCTTTAACAGTCATTCTCCACACAGTGCCTGCGGGTCTCCAAAGGGACGGGCAACGCACCTGGGGCTGGGAATGCACCAAGAAGCAAGGCATCCAAATCATTAATCACAGAATAAACACGTGAACCAGCCTTCCTGGACACATGCCTAGCTGATGTTCATTTACTCTATTTAATTCTTAAAACCACTGCCTTCTTCGGATGATGATGCTGAGGCTAAGTCAGCTTCCTAGAGTCTCGGAGGTGGCAAGTGCTGGTACCAGATTGGAGCAAGTCTGTCTAACTCAACAGGCCATGGTTTTACATTCCACACTGCTGGTGAGATGTATGTGCAAGCTTATGTTTGCTGTTGCTGCTGTGTGGGACCAGCTCAGCCGCTATTATGATGTCGCTGGTTGGCACACTCATTGGTACCTTGTACCCTCATTCATAGTTTTCAGCCTGGTATACGGTGTGTGCATGGATGTTTGTGCCCATGTGACAGATGTCGTTGATTTCTTGTAACTTTTTTTTCCTCTAGAGTTATAGACAGCTAAACAGCACTGAGTTGTAATTGAATCCATTTCAGGGAGAAGAAATACACTGAAATTCTTAAGTGTTTTAGCACTCCGCTGCCATTGGTGGAGAGGGAAGGGCGTGTTGTTTGCTAAGCCAATAATGCGGTCATCTTCGTATTAGTTGATCTTGTTATGCAAGTCAAGGGCAGTCCATCAGTGACAGGAAAAACAGATTGACCCATCCTGCCCAGCTGCTTCCTGGCACCAAACACAAAGACTTGTGAACCCCAATTATCGAGACACTTCTTTCCTCTTCTGCCTTTTTTAGCTTATGCCAGGCCCAGCCTACATAGCACAGGGCATTTTGGGCTAAGGCAGCATTTTGTGAGTTCCTCCTTTGTGGCAGGTGGGAAAGCTCAGTGAGTAAAAGAGACAAATCAGCCCCAGAAATCTGTGCTGGACTCTACAGAGCCAGAGGCTTTTGGACAGTGACTTAGGTATCAGTGTTCAAAGGGGAAATGGACTTTAAAATGAAAAGAGCTTCTGAACTTGCATCTAGGGGCTGAGTAGCAAAGGCTGCTTGTGTCACACCCCTTACACCTGAGGTATTTCATATCTATCTGTTGAGTGAGTTTATGAATGTATGTGTGAATAAATAGGTAAGACGTATTAGACCCTGCTTGTCTACACAGGCATAAGACTGTGTTTCTCTGGGTTACAACTTAAGAGTAACTAGCCAGTGGAAATTAGCCCTGGAGAGCTGAAGGCTAAATCAAACTTCTGGCATGATCATCAGAACAGTGTGGCTGGCAGGCCTGGAGTAGGGGACAGTATGCAACAGAGATAAAGGGTAGGAGTGGACAGCTCATTCTGCTGACAGTAACGTCAGTTACCTTTGTGTGTAGCTGGCAAGGAACCCAAGGAGCAGGGACAGATCACAGGAGCCATAGCCAGGGCAAGATGCTTCTCTGCTTCTGTTATCTTGAGATTAAAACCCACAAAGGTTTAGGGACTGTCTTTGGTTGCAAGAGGGGAACTACAGGGGTCCTGTCAGTATGAAGACACTACAGGTGACCAAGAAGAGTGTGGCATGCTAGCCTTACCTTATGCTAGCCCTGTGAGAGTCTCCTAAGCAAGTTGAAACCTGCAAAGAAAGCAAGCAGAGGAGCAGGTCCACTGACCACGTTTCTCACTCCTGACAACACTGCAGAGAGAAGACTCAGTTACTCCAAGTTCAGTACCAATAACAGGTCTCCACTCCATCCCTTGATTCTTCACTTAAATCTGTCAGGGCCACATGGGTGTGGAGGCTCACGTCTGCAATGCCAGCACTAAGGGAGGCAGCGGCAGGATGGTCTCTGTGAGTTCAAGGCCAGCCCCTGGTCTACAAATCGATTCCAAGACAGCCAAGGCTACACAGAGAAACCCTGTCTCTAAAAAAAAAAAATTGTCAGTCCTCGTGTCCTCTTAGTAGCTCCTGGTCTTGCTTTACCTCACCTATTATTTCTCCACAGGAGAGGTTTCACTATTTGAGGAAAATTGAAAAAATGTATTAAGTGAAAACACAGCTTGACTAATGAAGAAAAGCTTTCCTTAAAATCTGCTTCCACTCATACAAACACAGCATTCATATTTACATCCATAAAACATTTGTCATGTTTGCTAAAAGAAACCGGTCTTCTTCATGTGTGAAGTGCCACAGTGACATCTCCTGTCCACAAAAGGCAGCTCACAGTGACATCTGTTCACAGAGGCAGCTCAAAATGCTAGCCAGAGACTTGGCCATCTGCACCTTATTCTATTCGTTTCTTTGTGTTTTTGTTTGTTTGTTTTGTTTTGTTTCTATGTATAGTCCTGACCCTGGCTGTTCTAGAACTCAGAGACCAGCCTGCCTCTGCCTCTGCAGTTCTTGGATTAAAGGTGTGAAACACTACCTCTGGACCAGGGCAGGAATTCTTAACCAGCTGCAGATCCAGAATCCCTTAAAAAAACAGAAAATAGGAGAGGGGCCATGACAAACAGAAAAACCCAGGTTCCTACATCATCATAAATCTGGGATTTATGGATCCCAGAACTGGATAATAGGGTCACTTAAGCTTTCTATTGATTGAAGTAGGCAAGTTTCACACAGATGACATAATTCAAGATTTGTAAGAACTGCAAAATCTAGTTATGGGCCTTGGAGCATAAGTTGTGTTCTGGATGATTAAGTATCTAACAGGTTTACTTATCGCTGCCTAGCAGTCATTTTATTACCACAGATACATAAAGGTCATTTTTACATTTCCTTAGTGTTATGGTAATTTAAAATGTTCTTTTCTATAGTTATTACAATCTATGGGTAAGTTAGAATATTATTTATTTCCTAAATTTATGCTTTATAGTTATGGCATTTCTTTGAAAAAGTGTACCACCATTAACCACTTTTACAGAAAATAAGGTCTTCAGGTTAAACTCACATTTAAATTTAGAAATGGCTACTTTTGGGTTAGAGAGATGGCTTAGCAGTTAAGGCTCAAAACCAAATAGATTAGAAATTACTATTTTCAGGTTAAAAATGTGACCTTAATGGTTTTTGTTTTTTTTTTTTTTTAAAGATTTATTATTTTTTATACAGTATTTTGTCTGCACGTGCCCATGCATGCCAGAAGAGGGCGCCAGATCTCAGTATAGATGGTTGTGAGCCACCATGTGGTTGCTGGGAATTGAACTCAGGACCCCAGGAAGAGCAGCCAGTGCTCTTAACCTCTGAGCCATCTCTCCAGCCCCATACCTTAATGTTTTTGTGAATTAAAAAATAATTCGAGTGAGAACACTGATTCACATTGCTTTCTTTGTACTGCCTTCTCGCCCTTCTCAAAGTATTCACAGTATTCTCTGAGGACCGGATCCGTGAACTTAATCATGGCTCAGGAAGACATACAATCAGTGAAAATGCCTAATTTAGTATGGCACTCACCGCTTGGCGGTGGTGGCACACGTCTTTAATCCCAACCCTAAGGGAGGCAGAGACAGGTGTCCAGTTCGAGAGCCCCCAAAAGACTTACAGGAATTGACTCAGTTGCAAAACACACGAGGGTCTTTTTATTACAAGCTCGAGCCCGGGTGGCTGCCCTTTACAAAGACATAAGGGTAAGTGACCCCTGGCTCCGGGAGATCAAGGTTTTTAAAGGAACAAAAATGCCAGTGGGGTAGTACAAGCCTTGACATTACAGGATTGGGTAAGAGGAATAAAACGCAAGCGGGGTGGTCTATTAGGGAAGATTGGTCTGTTTTTAGGTGTCAAGACTGCTAACGGTCAGGCCTAGTTACCTGGGGACATCTAACCTCTAGTTCTTAGGGTCTATGTGACTCCAGTCACACCCTGAGGTTTATCTGGGTGGGGACTGCTCCTGTCCCATAATCTGAAAGGAATGTGGTCTGGTGTTTCTGCCCCAGCCCCAGGAATTAACTCTAAGTTGTCTTTTTTTAACCTTTCACAGGTAGATCTCTGAGTTCGAGGACAGCCTGGTCTACATAGTGAATTCTAGGACAGCCAAGGTTAGACAGAAAAAAAAAAATTCAAATACCAACTACATCAGTTATTTTTACACAGAAAAACATTTGAAAACGATCGTTTATAAACGACAGGTTTCTACTTGGGTAAAACACAAAACATTAATACTTTAGCATCAGGCCAAATAAAGTTTAAAAAGTCAAGGTCTCTATCGCGTCCGTAGAAGGGCTTGCTCAGAACCCGAGCGAGGACTGTTTGGCTTCCGGGAGCAGGCGCAGCGCCTAAGCAGGGCTGTTAAGGCTGGCTGCTTCCTGCGCTCCCGCTAGAGGCCCCGCCCTCAGCGGGAAACCCCGCCCCCTTCTCCAAGACCCGCCCTCCGCCTTGAGACTGCTGCCCAAGCCCCGCCCCAGTGCCGCCCAAGCGGCCGTGACGTCCCCTCTCCGCCCCTAGGCTCCGCCCAACTCCGCCCAGCTCCCGCCCTTCACCACCCCTTGCAAGGCGAGTGGCCAATACGCGTGCGCGGGTGGCGTCACATCCGGCAACAGGCCCCTATCTCCGGAAAGAGCTGCGGAATAGCGGCGGCGATTTTTGCGGCGAGCCTTCGAGTTTCCTTGCGGCTGGAGGAAGAAGCTCAACGGCGGCGACATGGTGGAGGTAAAGGAACGCGCGGGCGCCCTAGAGCCGTCTGTCTCTGGAGCTTTGCTCTGCGCACGGACGTGCAGGACGGAAGCGCTGGGAATCTGGGGAAAGGACTGTGTGGCCGGGACCGGTGGGTCGGGACGTCGGGCGGGAGGAAGGCCGGTGACATCCGAGGCTGTGCGGGCGGGAAGCCTGAGCGAACCCCGCGGTGCGTGTGTGCCAGTGGGAGCTGCGCCGTCCTCGGAGGCGGCCTTCCGATGCTCCCACTGCGCCTGGGGTGCGGGTCCTGACGGCTGCTGGTCCACGCTGTCTGTCAGCGCTTCCAGGGTAAAGCTTGCGGGTCTTGTTTTGTTGTTGTTGGCTTTTTGCGTATCCTAAGCGTTTCTTGATTTCACCCACTGCGTTCCAGATCCACCGCAGCTCTCTTAATCTAGCCCAGTGTAATTAGCCTCCATCTGGTCTGTGTGCGTGTGTTTAACGAACACGTTGAAGGAATGTACTCCCGTGGTAGAACGCTTGTCAAGCACGAACAAGGCTCTCTCTTCAGTCCCCAGCACTCAAAACACAAATAATATGTGAATTGGTCCTGCGTTTCCTACTTAAAACTCCTTTCTTGGGTAGGTGGTGGCAGAGGTCTGAACCTCACCGACCCTCATCGTAAACTACAACCCACATTCTCGCAGCATTCACAGCTATGCTGCAGTTCGGGCATTATCTGAACGCCTTTGCAAGCGGCATTGCAAAAATCCTCAGCTTGGATTATTCATACCTCTGTTCTTCATAAGAGGGTCTCCCTCTCTGCTTAACTGTCACCCGAGAGAAGTCTTTCGTGATTCCGTCTAGCAATTCTTTTTTCTCTGACTCCTCCCATTGCCTTTCTTCATAGAACCTTCCAAATTATGGAATTATTTTGCTTGTTTTTGTCTATTTATTTCTTGAGCGCACTACATGCCAGATGCAGTATGAGCTCAGTAAATGTTGCTATAAAAGGTGTATTCAGTTACTTTACCCAGAGCTCTGGCCAGACAGGAGCTTTCTCAGCTTTGCTGTTGACTGCTGTAGTTTGTTAAAGGATATTTAGCATGCAGAGCGCATAACAGATCTAATGTTGATTGGGGTTTATGGGTCACTTGAAGTTAGATGTGTGAGTTTGGTTGTTTCTTTACAGGAGGTGCAGAAGCACTCTGTACACACACTGGTGTTCAGGTCGTTGAAGAGGACCCATGATATGTTTGTAGCAGATAATGGAAAACCTGTGCCTTTGGATGAGGAGAGGTAAGTTTTATATCTTTTCAGTTGCTAGCGGTTTTAAAAATTTAGTACTGGCAGAAGAGTGCAGGGAGAAGATCTTTGAAAGGTCTTAAAAGTGCTGCAGACACTCACAGGACTTTTTCTATTGTCTTGTCTTTTAACAATAAAAATACCATTAGCTCATCATAGTTTACAAGTACCCAGTGTGGTGGTTTGAATGAGAATGACCCCATGAGTTTGAACTGCTGGTGGAATTGTTTTTGAAGGACTGGGTGTGGCCTTGCAGAGGAGGCGTGGCACCGGGGTTAGGCTGTGGGATTTCAAAAGCCCACACCTTTCCCAGTTAGCTCAGACCCCCGCACACTCATGTTTGTGACTCAGATGTGAGCTCTCAGCTGCTGCTCCGGCACCATGCCTGCCTGCCGCCATGCTCCCTGCCCCTCTTGAACCATGAGCCCCAAATTAAATTCTTTTATGACTTGCCTTGGTCATGGTATTTTGTCAGCAGTAGGAAAGTACTAATACCCCGTAATTAGGAGCATCCCTGTTAGGTTATTTGATTTACAATGAATCACTCTGAATGTACTTCCAGCTTCCTGCTCTCGGAGTCTGAAGGAGCTGACATTGAACTTGGCCAGTACCTCCACTCCCATCCTTGCTCCTTAGTACAGTGAAGACTTTTGAGTGGCAGCCCTGGCCTGGGCTTGTGTTATGTGCAGTGCCTTTCTTTGTCCTTTGCTTTTTCGTTATAATTTACTTAATTCCCCTCATTGGCATTTATATTTTATTTATAAGGTAGATTATCTTAAGTAGCATAAGTACATTCTTAAAATGCTGAGCTAATTTAGTGCTTTCATTGGGTCTGATGTTTTAGGTAACGAGTGAAGGTGTCTATACAAGTTTTACTATATTCTCATATTCAGACATTTAAAGGTTTTTTGTAAGATATATTAGTTTGTGTGCATCGTTTATTCAGTTGGATTCTTGAGTTCTCATCAAAAAAGGTTTTGTGTTAATTGGGCTACAAAGTAAGGTCCTACTTGGGTTTAATGAATTCTGTATGATAGATTGTGAGAAAAAAGGAATATATGGTATGGAAATGCATTTTGAAATTTTGTGTTTGTTAAAATACTTTTTAACCTGAAAAACATCCTGGATTTGTGCAGTTGAGTAAAGTATTTGTGTATGTGCTTGTTTTCTGGCTATCTGAATGTCGGTGAATGTGTTTTCAGTATTTAAGGATGCATTTCATGTTTATGATTTTTAAATAGTCACAAGCGGAAAATGGCAATCAAGCTTCGTAACGAGTATGGTCCTGTGCTGCATATGCCTACTTCAAAAGAGAACCTCAAGGAGAAGGGACCTCAGATCGCAGCAGACTCCTATCCTCATAAGCAGTACCCTGCCAATCAAGGTGAAGCCTGTCAGGGTTCCCTGTGAATTCCCTAGTGCCTGGCTGGGGAGGCCTGCTTCTCTGCTGCTGTTAGAATGGGGGTTCTCACTGGCTTGTCAGGGAGTGACTGAGATTCTTAGCTGGTGACTTTTTACTAGAAAACAGTGCAGTGGTGTGATTCTCAAGAGGAAGACAAGGTTACAGTGAAGTCTGCAGGGGAAAATCGACGTTCTTAACCTGTGGAAGACCAACTATGAGGTCTCTAATTCAGATGGATGAAATTATAGTGAACAAAGAGAAACTATGCACTTTGGAGAACAGCTAGAGTAGGCTGTGAGTGAATGGACAGCCTCTTGTTAGCGCAGCTAGGTAGAGACACGTGAGCTTTCTGGATTTGTTAACAGCTTACAGGCAAAACACTCAGCTCCTACATTGCTGCGGCTTCTGTTTAGCTGGAAAAAAAACTCTAGTCAATAATAATAATACCTTTTAATAATACCTTTTAAAAGATAGTACTTGAATTTATTTATTTTTATTTTGAATTTATTTATTTTATTTATTTTTTAGGACAAGATGTTGAATATTTGGTGACAGGTACACATCCGTATCCACCAGGACCTGGTAGGTGACAATAAGGCTGCACTATGTCTTAACAGATGTATTATCTGTTGGCTTAGACAAATAAGTAGGTAACGTGTGTGTGTGTGTGTGTGTGTGTGTGTGTGTACGTGTGTGTACGTGTGTGTACATGTGTGTACGTGTGTAGACAGATTGACACAAGGGAAGCTAGTATGATGAGGTGGAGGACAAAAAGCTTTGTTTTTATAGAACACACAGGTAACTTACTTTACTCTTGGAAGTATTCTGTTAATATTTGAATAACTATTGTTTGCTCATAAATGTACTATATGAATCAGTAGGAAATTAACTTTATTTTCTTGGGTTGCTCTTAATACCAGGCTGCTAGCTTTCAGTCAAATTTGAGCTATGTATTAACCAGATTTATTATAAAAAACTGAAAGCAAAGACAAACTGAATATAATCAAGATTGTTATAAACAGGTGTTGCCTTGACTGCTGACACTAAGATCCAGAGAATGCCAAGTGAGTCAGCTGCACAGTCCTTAGCTGTGGCGTTGCCATCTCAGGCCAGGTATGACTCTCACACTTCAGGTAGATTTTCAGCACTTAACATGTGCGAGCCAGATGCCACCTATCGACCTTTAAAAACTGTGTGTGCGCACGCAGACACACGCTTGTATCCAGCACAGTGCTCCCGCGGAAATGCGAAGCCAGCTTTTGGGAATTGCTTCTCTCTCTGCTGTGGCTTCGGGATTGAATTCAGGTGTATGTAGCAAATGCCTTTACCCATGCTGTAGCAGTTCACTGCCCCACCTTCTGTTATTAGGGTCTGTTTCTGGCCTGGAACTTAGCACGTGGCTAGGCTGGCGGGCAGCACTCGGGGGGGCGGGGGCAGGAGGGCTGTTTGTCCCAGTGCTGGGATCACAAGCACACGTCACCAGGTTTTGCTGTTGTTGTTTTGTTTCTAAACAAAGGTTCTGGGAATTGAACTTCATTCCTCATACTTGCAAAACGAGCATTTTACCAACTGAGCTGTCTCTTAGAATTAGGAAGGTGCTGAGTAGTTATTTTATTTATTCTGCAGAGTTGATGCAAATCGCGCTGCCCCTGCTGGAAATGAGTACAGACACCCAGGGGCTTCTGACCGTTCCCAGCCCACAGCAATGAATTCCGTAAGTCTCCTGAGTCACATAGCTAGCTCTTGGAACATGAATCCCTCTTTTTCTTTATCTTAAAAGTCTTACACAGAAACTGAAATCAATATTGTCATGGGATCTGTTAATAAAAATAGCAGCCTGAGCTAGTCCTTAACATTCCATAGCCCTAAAAACATGATTTTGGTAAATGGCTATTTTTTATTTTTAGAACCCCAAATCCTGTTACTTCTGTATATAGTTTTCATATTATACATGGCAGGTTTTCTAGTACAGATACTGTGTGTTCAGTACTCACTGTGAAAGAGCAAGGCCTGTGGCTGGGGCTCAGTTAAGAGCACTTCCTGTGCAAGCACAAGGACTTGAGCCGGTCTCTAGCACTGTGTAAAAGCTGCGTGTGGCTGTGCACCTATGACATGGCATGTGATGGGGCAGGGGCAGTAGAGTAGGTGCAGAGGGTCCCCGTAGCTCAGAACCGGCCCTCTTAGCCTCAGAGTGAAGCAGCTTGCTCCTGGTTCACTCCAAGTCCCTTTCTCACAGGCTGTGGCCGCGGGTGGTGGTAGAGAACACTTGACGTTTCCTGGCTTCACATGTGTGTGTATGTACCACGTGAGGGCATATGCACGCACAGCATAGTTTTAAGGAGACCACCTTAACAGTACTAAGGTATTTTTCATGTCGGGCAGTGTCCCCAGGTTCCTATATTGCTTTTATTGCTTCCAGTGAATTAGTTTATTTTCTTTAACCTACTTTTCCCTACTACAGTTACTGGGGAAATGCTACACTAGTAAAGCATCCAATACACACACACACTCTCTCTGCAAGGAATGTTTCTGAACCTTGTGTGGGTCTGTGTTATTGGAGACTTGCACTCTGACATGGGTTGCTGTATGGATGCAGTTGAGTGCTGCTGGTTTGGTGAAGTACTGCCTTTACTTGCACAGCGGTGGAGCTCATTTGGCATCCCCACACCACAATTTAGAACAGGTCTCTGTTCAGGCTTTCTGCCTCCTTAGGATATACTTTGAGTTTCTTCAGGATATAGCCCAGGCCAGCCTCGAACTCTATATCTGATCTAAACTTGAACTCCTGATCCTGCTACCTCCACCACCTGAGTGCTTGAACTACAGGCTGCAGATAAACCCAGACCTTCAAACATGCTAGACAAGCAGTCTACAACTAAGCTACATGCCCTGGCCCAGTTTCCATCTCCTGAAGATAGAGTCTCAGGTTTCAATATAGTTCTGGGTTAATGGAGTGAGGCTCGTGGTGGATTCTTCAGGTTAAGCAGTCTTTATTTAAAGTGCTTGGGACTACCAGTGTTTCAGATTAGATTTTAGACTGCTTTGCTCAGAATATTGGCATACACGTGTTTAAATTAATTACATGTGTTCTTCAACACTTCCTACATGTGAATAAGTGCACTCTGGTTAAGTGCCCTGTCCCCCTCAGCCTTCCCTCCTTTCTACAGCTCCCTTTCCCACTTCATGTCACTCTGTGTTTTCCTTAGTGGCCCTCTGGGTTTACCCAGGATCTGTGTGGACCATGGGTTTAGAACTAGCCACGTGAGCTTGGTGCACTCAGCAGTGGGCACACACCTGGAAACAGTGGTGTCTGCTCAGAGTACAGTACTCTACCCTTCAGCTTAAAGGGAAGCTTCCTCAGAACTCTGTATGTTCCATATATTCAAAGAGAAAGGACAAAACTGCGGCAGACAGAAACCCCCTCTCAGTAGTCAGTGGCTGTACAGGTAGGTATTTCCTGGGCGCCCCTCCCCGTCCACACCTTATTGTTGATGGGCTTAGTCTTGTGGGGGCCAGTACAGGTTCCTGCAGCTGCTGTGAGTTCAAGATTGCAGTCATTGTGTTAGGCTCCAAACATGGCATCTCTCAGCACTCCATTCTTTCCACTTCCTCTTCTGCATTGTTCACTGAGCCTTAGAGGAGGTAGTATAAATGTCTTGTATAGTGGCAAGCACTCAGCTGTTCCTTGTTTCAGCACCCTAAACAGCTGTGAATGTCTGCATTTATGACTAGGAGCTCCAGAGAAAACCTTCTCATTATGGTCAGGAGTACATTTGTCTGTGGGTGTAAAGATAGATATTTAGAAGATTTTCTAGCCCTATGTGCTTGACCGGATTTGTGGTGCCATGTTTGGGTTCCCTGCTGTGGAGCAGGCCTCAAATCCAAGCAAAGAGCAGCTGATTGCTCTCTAACAGTGTTACCACTGTTGTACAAATGGGCACATCTTGCCTAACTAGTTGGTATTGAAGTTCATAGGGGTCAAAGCTGGGTCGGACCATTGATGCCTGTTCTCCTCTGAGAGCCTGAGCAGCCCCTCCTTCTAAAAGCTGTCTAGTAGGGAATTTCCATCTCAGTCACAGCCCGCATTCTCCGTATCTCACAACCAAGGTGTATTGTCCTCAGCATACGGCCTCAACACCCAGTTCTAGTTGCAGTGTATTAGCGCATATGTTAGCTATTCACTTGTAATCGGAAATCTGTTGCTTAGATTTTTCATCAAACCTGCTTTATTTAGGGTTTTAAACACCGTTACCTCCCTTCTAGCTCCGACCTTAGGAGGTAAGTAGGGAAAGGCCTGTAGACCTCTTTTATCTATTGATTAGGGTTGATGGGTCCTTAGGGGATTACCACACTCAGCCGTCAGGACACCAGCAGTCCAGTGCAAAGGCGAACACCAAGCAGCAGCACCAATCAGCACAATTCAGAGGGTTGTCAACAGAAGCCGCACACTCAGTTGGATTGCCCCAAGAAGTCCCCTGAAACATTTTTCTCTGGGAAGTCAAGTGTCCAAACACGAAGATCAGTGCAGAGATGTCAGTCCAAAAAGCCAAGCCTTGCTGTGCGTGGGCCTCTATACATCTCCTTTCCTCACAGTCCACCCATGGGTATTCTCAGCTGGCCAGAGTCATACCCCTCACAGGAGAGAGCTCACAGCAAAGCATCACCTGCCCTGTCACAAGACAGCTTGCAGCAAAACATCCATGACAAAACTGAGTCCTCAAAGAAAGCAGAAATTTTCACTTCAGAAGTGCATATTAGGCTTGGATGTTGCAGCATATGGAAGTTTAAATTTAGGGGCTAAGGGTGCTCAGCCTGTGGCTAGTATGCATTATAAATTGTGTTTAAGTATTCTATTAGAAGATCAAGAGGCTTTTGGCTAAAGTTGGTCAGCTAGTGGTGGTCTTGGTTTGGTTTTGAACTCCACAGTGATGTCTGTCTCTGCCTCAGGTGTTTTGTCCTTTATCTTTGAATACATGGAACATACAGAGCCCTGAGGAAGCTTTACCTTTTTTAAAGTCATAAGGTATTTTAGCTGTCTTCCTCTTCAGTTAGTGAAAAAGCAAGCCTTTTCTGAATTCTTTCAATTGGCATCTTTTAATTAATGGCTTGAGACCTTCAGCGTGATGGCTGTGGATGTGTAATCTGTCCCGTGTCTAGATGCTTATGGAGACCGGCAACACCAAGAACTCTGCGCTCATGGCTAAAAAGGCCCCCACAATGCCCAAACCACAGTGGCACCCGCCGTGGAAGCTCTACAGGGTAAGTATCTGCATTTCCTTATGCCTCGGGGAGCATGGTCGCTTCCCATCAGCCAGGAGTTGGGCTGGGATCTTGAGTCACCTGAGGAGAGTAGGCTTCTCACCGTGCCGAGCTGTTAGGAGGGCTTCTTAGGGCCGCCACGTGGAGTTTGTTCTTGACTAAAATAAAGGGTAGAGTATTGGGGAAGGTCTGCATGTGCAGAGCAGGCAGTTAAGAAAGTGTTTCCCGCAGTGCTGAAGGAGAAGAGTCCTCAGACGCTTTGCTAGTGAGCCTTTCAGCTGTAATAAACTACGAGGTGACACAAAGTACATCAGATCAAAAATAGAATGAGGCAGGAGATGGACAGTCTGCATAATTGTTTTCCTTATGATGGTACCATCTCTACTTGCTGTGTAGGGCTAATGAATTGTCACAGATACAGATTTGAGGAACCACTGCCTGTGAGCCTGACGTCACCTCGCCCGAGCACTATTTTAGCCATACACTCTTCCACACCCGGCGTCCTTTTATACTTTTATACTTTTTATACTTCAAATTGTACAGTTTGAATGTTTGAGAGTGATGTCCTTCACTCAGTGATGTTGAGGTAAATTGCATTCCTTTTTCTTAGATAGTAGTATTCCATTGAACATATGAACCTCACTTGCAGTATTCATTCACTCGTTGAAAATAAGTTAATGTTTCTTACTCTGAAGTGTAATTGTCAGTTTTATGGAACTGCAGTTTAGTACGGTGCATCCAAATCGGGTTGTGCATTTTTAAATACCATATGAATAAGCTTCCTCACCTCTTTCTGTTGCACAGGTTATCAGTGGCCATCTTGGCTGGGTTCGGTGTATCGCTGTAGAACCTGGAAATCAGTGGTTTGTGACTGGATCCGCTGACAGGACTATAAAGGTGAGGACAGTGGGTGTTTCCTAAGCTACTTCCTAGGGAGAGTTGTGTTGTCTTACATGGTCATGCTGCAACGTTGACGGTCAAAGCTAGTAACCGCGCCTGCTTGCAAAGTGGGGGACCATCTTAACTGCCTCCTGGTAATTCTATGCAGCTGATCCCGAAGGGAGTGTTCACTCTGTTGGAGGATAAGTCTGTAGAGGCGCAGTGACGGTGCTCTAAGAGCTGGCACACGCCTATGCTATTTGACCTTCAGGTGGACTCAGTTTAGATTCTGCTGATGTGCCAGTGGAGCTATCGTGAACCCTTTCCTGTGTATACAGGTGTCTTTCCTTTAAAAGTCAGTTTTTAATTTTTTGTTTTTATGCAGCACTGACCATCAAACCCAGTGCTTTACACATGCTAGGTGGTCCCCTGAGCTACATCTCCAGAAACTGAGCCTTTGTTTTGTTGTTGTTGAGACAGGTTTCACTGTAGCTTTAGCTGGGCAGGAACTTACTATATAGACCAGGCTAGTTTTAAGTTCACAGAGACCCAGCTCCCGGTGGCATGCTGGGATTAAAGGTGGCCCGCACTACCATGCCTGGCAAAAATTCTTAAGTTTTAATTTTTGAATCTTTCTTTTCTCATATAGCATTGTCTTGAAAAACCTCTTATGAAAAACTCAGGATTTTAAATGTGTAGAAGGTGCAGATAATTCTGTAACCTCTTTCCCTGTGTTCAACATTGAAATTTCTAGTTTGACGATTTTCATTGTGATAAGCCTACATTTGTTTTACACAGACTGTGTTTTTTCTGTATTGTGTTTTGTTTTGATAGATTCTCATAACTACAAGTGTTAGGCCCAATGTCTTTGAGCTGGCATAGAAAGTGCAAATTTCTTTCCAAAATTAGCGAGCTGATGCTTGGTGTGTTGTACCGAGCACGTAGCTCTTTAGAAAAGTGCACAGATGCGACACTAGAAACGTCTAACTTTAAATAGACGTGTGAAATGTAGCGAGGGTGGACATTTTCATCATTGCTACTTTTCTGGATTAAGTTGCTGTTCCCTTGGTACGTTTAATGCTCTTGGTATTTTCATCATCAGTAAATCTTTTTATGTGTTGGGAGCGTTAGCCTTGTGACTTTCTGCAAATACTTAGCCAGTTTGAATGTGCCTTTTTTTTTTTTTTTTTCCTGCTTTTTTTGGAGAGGAATCATTTTAGAGAGTCTTAGCTTCCCCTGTGGAGACGTTTATTGTATGTCCGTGTTCTACATTTTGGGGGAGGGTAGCCAGCGTAAAGCAAGACCGTTGTTTGGTTTCAGATCTGGGACCTGGCCAGCGGCAAGTTAAAGCTGTCGCTGACGGGCCACATCAGCACAGTGCGAGGCGTGATCGTGAGCACGCGGAGCCCCTACTTGTTCTCCTGTGGAGAAGACAAGCAAGTGAAGTGCTGGGACCTTGAGTACAACAAGGTAGGCTGAGAGCCAGCTGTTGGAACATCCTCAGCTGCTGTGTGCTGCTTGTTTGTGCTCACAGCTGGGGATTGGATCCAGGGCTTTATTTCGTGTTAGGCTTGCTCTCTGTTTTGGAGTCTGTCCCAGGCCCCACTGCTGGTCTGTCTGATGTTGGAAGTTATAACTTCCTGTGTTTCTTTAGGTTATCCGGCACTACCATGGCCATCTGAGTGCCGTGTACGGTCTGGATCTGCACCCAACCATCGATGTCCTGGTGACCTGTAGTCGAGACTCCACGGCACGGGTGAGTGAGCTGGAGCTGGTGTCTTCTCGTGCACACTTGACCGCATGTGGTCTGTTTCTCATAGAGAAACAGATTCTTCTTTTTTAATTAAATTTTAATGTTTTTAATATTACAGTTTATAACTTTGCATCCCAACTGTGGCCCCTCCTTCATTCCCTTCCAATCCCACTCTCCCTCCCTCATCTCCCTGCCCCTTTCCCAGTCCACTGATAGGGGAGGTCCTCCTCCCCTTCCATCTGACCCTAGCTTATCAGGTATCTTCAGGACTGGCTGCAAAGTCCTCCTCTGTGGCCCAGCAAGGCTGCTCCTCCCAGGGTGGGGGGGTGTCAAAGAGCCAGCCTTTGAGTTCATGTCAGAAATAGTCCCTGTTCCCCTTACTGGGGAACCCACTTGGAAACTGAGCTGCCATGGGCTACATCCGAGCAGAGGTTTTAGGTTATATCCATACATGGTCCTTGGTTGGAGATACAATCTCATAAAAGACCCCTGTGCCCAGATGTGTTTTGTCCTTGTGGAGCTCCTGTCCTCTCCAAGTCTTACTAACTCCCCCTTCTTTCATATGATTCCCTGCACTCTGCTCAAGGTTTGGTTATGAGTCTCAGTATCTGCTTTAATACACTGCTAGGTAGAGTCTTTCAAAGGCCCTCTGTGGTAGGCTCTTGTCCTGTTACTTGTTTTCTCCTACATCCGATGTCCATCCCATTTGTCTTTCTAAGTGAGGATTGATCATTTTACCCTGGTACAGATTTCAGTATGTTTATCCTATCTTATAGGTCTAGTACCCACTTATGAGTGAGTATAGACACTGTGTGTCTTTCTCCTTCTGGGATACCTCACTCAGGATGATCTTTTCTAGATCCCACCATTTGCCTGCAAATTTCATGATTTCCTTGTTTTTAATTGCTGAGTAGTGTTTTATTGTGTAAAGGTACCACAATTTCTGTATCCATTCCTCCGCTGATGGATATCTGGGTTGTTTCCAGGTTCTGGCTATTACGAATAAACTGCTACAAACATGGTTGAGCAAATGTCCTTGTTGTGTGCTTGAGCATCTTTTGGATGTATGCCTAGGAGTGGTATAGCTGGATCTTGAGGAATCATTATTCCTAATTGTCTGAGAAAGCACCAGATTGATTTCCAAAGTGGTTGTACAAGTTTACATTCCCACCAGCAATGGAGGAGGAGGGTTCCCCTTTCTCCACAACCTCTCCAGCATGTGTTATCACTTGAGTTTTTGATCTTAGTCGTTCTGATGGGTGTAAGGTGAAATCTCAGGGTTGTTTTGATTTGCATCTCTCTGATGGCTAAGAATGTTGAATATTTTTAAGTGTTGGAGAACACAGATTCTTGACTCATCAATAACCTGGCTCTCTCAGGCCCCCTCATGACTCTTTGTCTGTTATCACTCTTCAGTTCTTTGTTTACTGTCCGTTGTTAATGTCCTGTCCCATGTTGACATAATGACAGCTCACTATTCTTGGCCATGGGCTGTGACCCCATTGGGGTAGAGCATCCCTTTCACAGGGGTCACCTAAGACCATTGGAAAACACAGATCTTTACATTGCGGTTCATAGTAGGAGAATTAGAGTGGCGATGTAGCAGTGAAATAATGTGTTATGGTTGGGGTCACCACAACGTGAGGGACTGTATGAAAGGACACAGCTTTAGGAAGGTCGAGAATCAATGCTTAGACTCCCACGGTGATTGTCCACTAGCTGTTTAACTCTCTAGTCCCATTGTGGGACTAAGCTGGTCACTCAGTGTCCTGATCTCTAAACTTTCTTCTTCCTTGGCCACTGTCTGTCCCACAGCACATGGATCGTTGTCCTCCATTTATGCATTGTCTTCATTAGGTTCAGACACTGGTTTGGCAGACTCAGAGCTTTGAGACGTGAATACCTGTTCTTTCTCACCACATGCTGCTTATGTTTTCGCAGATCTGGGATGTGAGAACTAAAGCCAGTGTACACACTTTGTCTGGACACACAAATGCAGTTGCTACCGTGAGGTGCCAGGCTGCAGAGCCACAGATTATTACTGGTATGATCTTGTCCCAGCCCTCCTGCCTGTCTGTTCCAGATGCACCACCATTCTGCATCTGCACGTAGTCCTGGACATGTTTAGTCATGGACATTGCAAGTTTAAGATGGCAAGATGCTTTCTGGGTTGTTTTTATCATGGCTTTCCATGTATATTGTAGAATGTGTTAGGCATTGTAAAAGCTGTCTAGAAAACTGGTCTCAGATATAGTTAAGTGTCATTTTAGAATGTCAGGACTATCATTCTAGAGAGTTAAAGTTAGGAAACATACCCTGCCACCAATACCTTCAGAACTGGTATGACGCTTACTTGAATGACAGTGGAAAGTTACTGTGTTAACTAGAAATTAGGATAAAAATTCAATTTTTTCCTTCCCTGCCATTAGAGGATAAAATTTGTATTTATATGCTATTTATATTTTTGATAGTTGGATAAAATTATATGTTTTATTTGCTATTTATACTTTTTGATAGTTGATGAGGTATTTTTTTTTTTTTAATTAGTCTGTTGGCCTGCATGTCTGTATGTATATATGCATTTAGTGTCCTCAGAGGTCAGAAGGAGGTGTCAGAGTCCCTGGAACTGGAGATACAGATGGTTGTGCCTCACTTTGTGGGTGCTAGAACCAAACTATGTGTTCAGGAGGAGAAGGCAGGGCTTTTAACCACTGAGCCATCCTTCTCTGGCCTCAATGAGGCAAAACGTTAAGAAGAACTAACTGTCAAGTGAAAGTACAGGTTTAGAGCTTCAAGGACGTATTCACAGTGGTGGGACTTCTTTAGTGTACACATGTGTACGCAGGAGTTCTGTTTTGTTTTATTGTTTTAACTTGCGGATTCTGTTTGGGTGTCTTTGTCTTCATTACAGGAAGTCATGATACCACAATACGATTATGGGATCTAGTGGCTGGAAAGACAAGAGTGACACTGACGAACCATAAGAAGTCCGTCAGGGCTGTGGTTTTACATCCGAGACAGTAAGTGCGTTTTGCTGATTAGTTTTCTTTGCATACCTGCAGCTATGCTGCTTGTGGACAGGCTTTGAGCCCTCCCCATCTGTGGCTCTGTTGCCTCATGCTCCATATAGAGTGAAGGAGAACGCCCCTCTACAAAGCGACAAATAAGGCTAAATCATGGTTAAAGCTGCAGGCCAAAATAGGAAGTAATGGTGGCTGGGTATGTTCAGGACATGCAGGGTATTGGACCTGCTTATCTGTCTGGACAGGCATGGAGTAGTTTGATTCTTAAGGAAGAAGTTAATGGACAGGAGGGAAAGTGGAAGAGCATTATGGTCACTATTCCCAGAGAGGTCAAGTCACGTTGATGTCAGGCCAGGTCACTCCTGACACTCATGTGTCCATCGCTGCTCCCTCTCCCCTTTCTTGTCCTGCTTTTCTTTTACTCCATTTATCTTTCTCTTGCCCTCACTCTCTCTGCTTCTCTCCCTTTCTCCAAGACTTTTTTGTCTAGTGTATGTTTATATTTGTTGTGCTAATTCAGTGTAGTACACGGAAGAAATGAACAAATTTAAAATGCATTTAAAATGCATTTCAGCACTTGGAGAAGCTGATGGAACTTCCAGTGAAGATAGTGATGATTTTGTGCTGTTCACTGAGGCTGTCTGGACTAGTGAGCACACGGGGATTTTTAAAAACTTCAGTTTCTTTGATGCAGCATATTTTTTTCCCGTTAATTCCTGTCAATCTTTGTTCTAGTTACACATTTGCATCTGGATCTCCAGATAACATAAAGCAGTGGAAATTCCCTGATGGAGGCTTCATTCAGAACCTGTCTGGTCATAATGCGATTATTAACACGCTGGCAGTCAATGCTGACGGAGTGCTTGTATCTGGAGGTAACACAAGGTTCTCACGGTGTCTTGCGTTTGCCCTTCTCTTGAAGTGACTGAGCTGGTGTATCTCCTTTAGCACCATGCCCAGGTTGTAGCATACTCACTGTCAGGACGTGTGCCTGTTGGTAATGCGGCGTCTTACTCATTGGTAATCCATGCAGCACGTTGCATAGTGTCATCCTCTTTGTGTTCTCATGTGATAAAGGGGTCTATGCTAACAACTTTCCCGGGTTACTTGGATTTCAAATGTTTGGTGCCTTTAAGGTCTATAGTGACTTAAACACAGATGAAAGTAGACAAAACATTGGGAAATTTGAGTGTGTGTGTGTGTTCTCAGTCTTTGTGTTGCTCATGGGTCATCCACTGTTGAATGGATAGAAGTACAACCCTGTCTTTCTTGTGCAGCTGACAACGGCACTATGCACCTTTGGGACTGGAGAACTGGCTACAATTTTCAGCGAGTTCATGCAGCTGTGCAGCCTGGGTCTCTAGATAGTGAATCAGGGATATTTGCTTGTGCGTTTGACCAGTCAGAAAGTCGGTTACTGACAGCTGAAGCTGATAAAACCATTAAAGTTTACAGAGAGGATGAGACCGCGGTAAGTTCTCAGTCTCCATCTGTCTGTCTGTCTGTCTTTATACCTACCTTCTTTTTTTCAGTTTACTTTTTTGACTTTTTCTTTTGCAGATTAATTTTATTTTTATATTTAGAGACAAGGTTTCACATCGTATCTCTTGACTGGCCTGGAACTCACTTTGTAGCTCAAGTTGACCTTAAACTTGAAGCAGTCTTCCTGCCTCTGCCTCCCAGATGCTGGGATTATGGGCATGAGCCACCACATGCATTTTAAAGTGGAAGAACTGCCTGCCAATTTAGCAGTTGATTACTGGAAAGAAAAGGGTTCATACATTACGAAGGGATTGGTCCTCTGGATAGTGGCCTGCTCGGTACTTCTGTGCAGCCTCATTGGTGCTGATGGCTCCATTGCTCCATTACTTTCTAAATCCAGCTGTTCCTCAACAGTTACTGGGAAAATTACACATTAACCACAGCAAGTAACTGTGAAAATGAAATCTAGGATCACAGTGTTGGTGTTGCTGTAATATCGAAATGAAAATCTTACCTTGGGGAAAACGCCAAACAGCTTGGGATATATCCATTTATCCTTTATTAGACTTGGATAATGCCAGAAGTTTGTTGGCTATTCCTTTTTCTTATTCTTTTTTTTTTTTTTTTTTAATTAAGTGTGGTTTTATTTTTAATTTTTTTTAAAGATTTATTTAGTGTGTTAGGTATATATGTTAGGTATATAGGTATATATGTTCTGCCTATTTGTACACCTGAATGCCAGAAGAGGACACCAGATCTCATTATACATTTTTGTGAGCCATGATATGGTTACTGGGAATTGAACTCAGGACTTCTGGAAGAACAAGCAGTGCTCTTAACCCCTGAGCCATCTCTCCAGCCCCTTGTTGGCTGTTTCTAAAAGTTTTCAATATCCACTAAGTATGCCTGCCCAGGACTGTGATTTAGCAGAGACAAGGTTTTTCTGTTGAAAGGAAACAAACTAGTAAGTAACATTTTGTTTATTGTTCTGTTTTTAGACAGAAGAAACTCACCCAGTCAGCTGGAAACCAGAAATTATCAAGAGAAAAAGATTTTAGTGTCTCCATGGCTGTCCTTCTGCTCATAGCTTGGTGTTGATGAGGAGGTCCAGGCATTTGCGGAAGCTCACTGGCAGAAATCACTGCTGCTTTGTATTTACAATAAACTGCTCCCCGTGTCCCTCACCTGTGTTTTATTTCTAAAATAAACAGCTTATCATTTTAGAAGTAAAATGTAAATAGAAAGAAGTCAGGTTTGTTGACATTGTTGTTCTTAACACATGCTATTTTGACAGGGTTTTTTGTTGTTGTGTGTGTGTGTAGGTGTTTTGTCCACATGTACATCTGTGTACAGTTTGTGTGCCTGGTGCCTATGAAAGCCAGAAGACGGTGTCAGATCCCTGGAACAGGAGTTACAGATTGTTCTGACGACGATTTAGGTGCTGAGAATGGAACATGGGCCCTCTGGAACAGCAGCCAGTGCTCTTAACCACTGAGCCATTTTTGAAGTCCCTATTTTAATAGTTTGTTAGAAAATTGTCTTACAAAATTACAAAACCAATTGCCTTGTTACAATAGGCTGTTTTGAAAGGAACAGCATTTTTTTTTTTTTTAAACAGTCTTTACAAGCTTAAGACAGTGACTGATAATTTGGGATTAAAAGATTTGAACTCTTGGGCACAATGGTGCAGGTTTTTAATCCCAACACTAGTGATGCAGAAGCAGGTAGTTCTCTGTTAGTTTGAGATAGCCTGGTCTATGTAGTGTTCCTGGTTAGCCTAGGCAACTTGGACTGTGGTGGGGGTGGGAGTGGTAGGAGTGGGTTTGAGCTCTTACTCTTATTTCAAAAGCTGGCTTGTGTGTTCTATCAAGTTCTGCACTGTGTTCTGGTCCAGAAAGGATAGAAGTATGCATTCTCTGAGACTTACAGTCTTAACGTGGCTCGCTGTGAAAAGGCTGTAACCATGACAGCATTCTGGGGGAGCGCAGAGCTCCACTGTTGGTAATTCCTGAAAGGCTTGAGACCACCAACCTGCAAGAAACACGTGAGCGGACCCTAAAACAGGCAGGGCTGTATTTGGTTAAGTTGATTGGTTTGCCATGGTGGAGCTTAAGCCAGGCCTCATGAGAGCTGAGCAAATGTTGTGCTGCGCTTCTGTACCTCCAGTCCCCAGTAAAGGCTCTTTCTGAGACAGGAAGTTGGAGGACCCAGGCGCGTCAGTCAGGGAAGGCCGTGTGCTGTTTTGAGTTGTAGTCTGCAGTAGTTAAGATACTGGAATGGGGAAAGATGACAGGATTAGAGCTCTTTGAACCTGTGGCAAATCTTTTGAGGATTTTCTAGAAATGGGCGCAAGTTTCTAATGCCTGTGCCCCTTGATAAATGAGGTTTAGATCTTATGCCTTTTGGATCTCAGCTCCCCATCAGTCAAGATTTCAAGCGTTACCTTTAGTAGTGAAATGATTCCAAGCTTAGCTGCACTGAATTTGAGCGGTTTAAAGTCCTGTGTGCTGTAGTTGGGGTGTAATGTTAACAGACTTTCAAAGAATGGTTTTCCATGGCTGGTTGATACTTTGAATCCTTTGTCCTATTACATTTCTAGGAATCTGCTTTCTAGGAATAACCTGACACCCTCAGCAAGTGTACTGTGCATTTGCTCTTTAATCCTTAAAACTAATGCAAATATCCTGTCCTATTTATTTAATGGATTATGACATTTCAACATTTCTCAGTATGCCACTAAATTATTAGTGCAAGGTTACCAAATAATGCTTTCGTAAGACTGTACAAGCGTCTTTGTAAACTAATGGCAACTCAGAATTAATGAAGCCACATCAAATTGGTGACTGGCTTTGTAAAGTAGGGCAGCAGAATTACAGAACAGTCTGCTTTGTATGTTTCTATTACTTCAATTTTCTCAAGCATGTGTTTTATAAACAATACCAGGAAGGAAATCAGCATCTTGGGGAGCCTAATGTGTCTTAACAGAAGAAAGAAAACAGGTGATATCTAGTCCCTGTCATAGCTATGATCTGTATGCTGTGGTGAAACAGTATGGCCAAAAGCAAGTTGAGGAGCAAAGAGTTTATTTGGCTTACACTTCCATATCACTGTTCATTGAAGGAAGTCGGAGCAGGGTCCTGGAGGCAGGAGCTGATGCAGAGGACATGGGAGCATGTTCCTTACCGCTTGCTCAGCCTGTTTCTTTCCAGAACTCAGGACCACCAGCCCAGGATGGCACCACCTACCATAGGCTGGACCCTCCACTTTCAGTCAGACTTAGGAAAATAACCCACAGCCAGATTTTACATGGAGCCATTTTCTCAGTTGAGGTTCCTTGCTTTCAGATAACTCTTGTGTCAAGTTAACATAAAACTAGCCTTTCCCCAAGGGACATTCATATAAGGAGATGCCTAATAAAGTTTCAGCTGGTATGTTGAGGCCAGGTATCAAATGAAGAGCACTTTTTAAAGTGTGCCGTGTGCTGTCCTGTATTATGTGGCAAAAGTTTTCACAGTTGTCTGTTGTACATGAACTGGAAACTTACATAGGTTCAGAGAAGGGCTGCTAGGGAGCTGGGGGGGAGTAGGGTGAGTAACTGACAAAATGCTGGCACTTTAGGGTTGGGTCTTCCACATAAAACACAAATTTCCAGCTCAATAACTTCTGTTTGTTCATTTGCTTTTCAAGATAAGGTTTCTCTGCGTAGCCCTGGCTGTCCTGGAACTCACTCACTCTGTAGACCAGACTGGCCTCAAACTCTGCCTGCCTCTGCTTCCCACGTGCTGGGATTAAAGGTTTGTGCCACCACCATCAGAGTGCTTAATAACTTGTTATAGTTTAACCTTTTGCACAAAAGGCATTGAATATTTATTGTAAAATTAAATTGCATTGGGATTTATGATGGTTCATCTTGGTTGTTAATTGATTGTGTGCAGACAACTAGCAGACATGGCTGTGCGTGGGTCTGGGCGGGCATTTCCTGGAAGGGTTGGCAGGAGTGGGTGGTGACGCCTTCAGGGGTTGCCAGATCTAAAGAGGTCTAAGGAAGAGCACTCTAACTCCTTGCGGATGAGTGCACCCACGTTGCTGCTGCTGCATTCCTGTGCTGACGTGGGCACTCAGACCCCTTGGTTTTCCAGGGTAGACGTCAGGGATCCTCTGGGCTTTCATCACCACGGAGGGGCTGCTGAGATGGCCAGTCTTATGGGCCTTATCAACACACGAGCTGTTGCTGGACCTCCCGGCCACAATGTGCAAACCAGTCTAGTAAATCTCCTTTGTGACACATGCTCACTTCACTGGCTGTTTCTTTAGAGACCCGTCTGGAGACAGGTATTCTGTGATTTACTTGCTTAATCTTAACTGTGCTTGGAATAGGAACCACTACCAGGGCTCACTTCTAAAAACAAAGGAGGTATGTTTCACACACACACCCTAGCTGGAAGCCAGGGTCCTGGGGAAGGGTCTGTCTTCTGTTTAAGATGTCTTCCCCGCCATCTGCCCCACCACAGAGCACATATAAAAGGGCAGATTTGGGACAGACAGAGACTAAATAGCCAGCATTCTTTCTTGTCGAATTACAGCCTAAAGTTAGTCTGGACTGGTTTAGGTGACCTATTTTGGTATTCATATGTTGAGTGCTTCTTTTAGGGTAGGCAAATACCTAACAAAAATTAGTAGTAACAGCAATGGGATTTGCCATAAAACAAAAAGTGAGCCCTGCATCTGTGGCCCACCCAGGTCTCCACGCAGTCAGAGGAAGGTCATGGGGTTGCCTGGCCGACTAAACTCTGCTTAGTGAGAGAGGAGGAGAAGAGAGGACGTTCCCAGAGGGTGAGAAGAGGCAGTAGGTTCTGAGAAGCCAGGGTTGCCTCTCAGTAGAAAAAAATGGGCCATGGGCATGGGCTGCAGAGGACACTAGCCTGGCAGAGGGCACCCCGCTGTAGAAGGCCCCGGCGTGCTGAGCTAGGTGACTAGTGCTTCATTTCTGTGAACAAGGATTTGGCAGGTAGACGGTACCCAGAGTCATGGCAACGGAGGAGAAAGTTAGCCTTCAGCAGATATTTCTATGTGAAGCCAGTGCAATGGTCTCCTGGGGTTCTGTGGCAAAAGCCTTTACCTGCTGGGCCATCTCCCCAGCCTGCCAGGCATTTCTAGCACCTTTCAAAGAAACTTCACATTTATTAGCCCTCCGTCCATGCCCCATTGCTCGCTGCCTTGATTGACCACTGATCTGTTTGGCTTCCATGGATACGTTGTTCTGGACATTTCCTTTGAGTGGACTTAAGAATGTCATATTTCATCACCTGCTTCTTCCCCTAGACAGTGTTCTCAAGGGTCATCACTGAAGCTTGCATCCTGCAGTGCTCCATTTTGTTGCTAACTGCTGTTCCCCTGTGTGGCCCGTGCCTCTCCACCCATTATTGGTGGATTTTGAGTGAATGGACTTTTGTACATTCGAATAATCCACATAGTAAACATTTGCTACAAAGTTTCTGATACATTTAAAGACCCAAGTTATATAGAACTCCTAATATGTCAAGCAAGTCAATAGCCTTGAGCCATTCCAACATTTCTGTGCTTTAAATAACAGGCATTTTCCCCCTCAGTTTTCCAGAAATTAAGAAGCAAAGTTGTCAAATAAATAATGCATTTTTTAGAAAATGGTCAAAAGCTTGGGGTTACATAAAGGGCATATTGTAACCAAATACCATTCACAAACTAAACATATGTACGAAATATTCATATAAACCATCTTTCAACATTTTGATGTAGCTCATGTCTTCAGAAGCAATGTGCAGGAGTATTTGCCTTTCTAACTACATTAGTAATGATAATAATGATAAAAAACACAATGCTCATAAAACACTCACTGTATGCCTAGCATTATCCAAAATGGTTTTACATATATTAGCACATAATATTTAAAACTAAAATCAGTTACATAATTTATATGGCTGAGAGCAAAATGAAAATCCGAGGCCTGCTGTTTCCAAATCAGACAGAAGGTGCCATTAGCAGTAGGCACTACAACAGAAAGCCCTCGGCTTTTTTCTTGATGCTGTTTCTTGTGTGCTACTTAACACTCTAAATAAAAATAAATAGATATGAGCATGGATCTTAACATTTCCCTTTATGTCCTGAGGCGTTCATTTACATGCAAACAGCACTTCA